TCAGAAATACAATTCAACATATATCTACAATCGGTTTTGAGTAAATTTTGTCATATTTGTTGATTTTTGATTCAATGAACAAACACTCGAAGGTTAAACTTTCTTTTCATTCAGACGTCTAACTTATAACACTTTCATCCTGCAATAGCCTACCATGAGACACTATTCGAAAACATATATGCCACTGATTCAGTTTTTTAGACATCACCTAATGTGACGTGGTCGATCACTCCAAGCTTAGCCATACTCCTTTATTTCAACAATCTCACCAATCCCAATCTACTAATCGAACCTGTATATTTGACCTCAAAATCGTTACATTTTATTCGGTAAATAAAATAAACTTAATTGGATCAGTTAAATACAGAATTCAACAAAGTTTCTCTCTAAGTGAGCTACACTTTACTTGAAGAGACTTATAATATGCAGTAGATGAAGAAAGCCATGAAAAATTAACCCACCGTCTGAAAGCTTAGTGTGTAACACTATGCACCACAAACCTGTTAAAGATTGTCCTACTGCATGAATGATCAAGACTGCTGTTTGTATATATTCTAGGAGACAAAGGGCATAAATAGCTTTAATTAAGAAGTATTAGAACAGTATATTTTACAACTGTTTCTTGTTTTAAAAACTAGTAAATCAAAGAATCAGAATACATCGAAAAGAGTATGAATGAAAATTGTAGTTTAAGTTTCCCCACTAATTGACATTAGACAGAAGACCACTGAAAAATAGAAAGTAATGGAGAGCTGTTTTTTCTAGTTTGGGAATGTTTATCAGCATGCATTGATGACCTCAGCACCTTCAAATTGTATTACCATCTGGTGCACAGTTGTGCGCTACTGAACAGTTCCAAACTGGGACGAAGCAGTCTCCCGACTCCTCCGGGTTCCCAGTGGTTCTCTAAGTAGTGTCATTTCATGATTAAACTCGAAAGTGACCGAATCTCCATAAACCAACACTTAAAAAATTTAGTTTAGGTTTTTAATGTCTTCAGAGGATAAATCACTTAACCTAGACATTTCTTTGCTGCCTACAACTTTACTTCATCCAATATTTTCTAATTTTCCTGCATTTCGAAGCTAATTCATTTACAACATTCAAAAAGTCTCGAATAATTATTACCCAAACACCTGCATTACCTTAGGTTGTGGGAATTATTACAACATAAAATTAATGTCTGTGCGAATACTGTAGTAACTGTCACTGGATCAACATTTAAATCTGTATTCCACTGGGACTATAATTTGAGTCAACATACATAAAAAATTCCTTATCTTTGATGAACATAACCATCGTAAAATCATTGAACCATTTCATCAAAAGCATTTTGATATCAACGTGACTTGAGATTGGGATTATACTACTACTCTGTGATTTAAATTTTCAGACGAATTTGTTTTAAACATTTAGTTAGTTGTTTCAGCTTGCATTCCGTTAGGAATTATTCAAAAGCAAGGATTATTGAACATCTATTTTGAGTTTTGAACCCTTCAACACTGCAAAGTGATGAACCCATCATGGATGGAACCCAGTACATTCAGATTAGAAGGCGAACATGTTGATTGACTATTTAACCACCTGGTCGGCAACCAGTCACGCATGAATCATAAATTATGTCAATTCCAGATACAGCGAGACAATGACTAGTAACGAGTTCTAATGAGAGATAGTCTAAGGTGAGTTCCACCGAGTTGGGTGAAATTAGCTGCTATTAATTGTGTATAGGCAGAGCTTAGAAAATATCGACTATTTGATTCTGTCTCAGTGACTAAATTGTCATCGCCTCGTCCTGTACCTTGAAGGTATTGGTTTCAATCCCACTTGGGGATAGGTACGGAACAGGTGTCCACCGATCCTTGGTTTTTAATAATTGTCGGATGTCTAATGTCACATAAACTCGAAGATCCACAGGCGAAAAATGGAGAGTTGGAAGAATAAGCAGGTATCGAAGACAGAAATTTAAGTAAACATACAGAAGATGGAGGTGATAAAAATAACCAAACAACAACCAGCACCGATCACTATCAGCGGAAGAAATTTAAAAGAGGTCGCTTCTTCCCCTTATCTAGGAAGCATCAATTCAACTACATACGGCATTGATGAGGATTTGTAAAACAAGGATCAGAAAGGCAAGGTGCACCTCCATCACTCTGAAATCATTTTGGAAATCTTCTGCACTTAGCACAAAGAAAATATTCAAATTTTTAACACAAATGTTAAGTCAGTTCTTCTATGTAGCTTAGGGACTTGGTGCATGCGTTACGGAAAGCATTTCCAACAGACTGCAGAATTTTACCAACAGTTGTATTTGCTGGCTATATATTTAAGATCAGATGACCGGTCATTAGGCATAGGTAACAAGGCAGTCTGAGAACGAACCAACCAAGGACCTTTTGTTTAATAAATATTCCGAAGAAAGGGGAGATAGGTCGGGCACACGTTCATGCAACTGTTGAGGGACATAACACTCCAAGATGGCCCTCAAGTGAAACCTGTATGGGAAAAGACGAGTTGGGAGTCCAACAATGACACAAAATAGACTGTGTGATGCGGAAATGAAAGCTTGTAGGGAGTCGTGGAGCCAGTTTAAAACCAATGTTCCACTCGTAACTAAAGGGAATAATAATAAGAAATGTCAGTTAGTGATGAATTCTGTTAAAAAAAAGACTGGATACAAAGGATCTTCGTTATTAACAATCCATTTGCCTTCTCTTTGATATTATTATTTTCCAGTGCCTTATCTAAAGTTTAAGAATAAAATAAAGTGAAATTCGAAACCATTCGTGTTAATTAGTCACGTTAGCGTGCAATGTCTATTATGTGTTGCTCTCATACTTACGTCTGTTGGTGATTTTCTTTATCTAATCTCAGTTAGTGAATCCTACCGACACTTATTTTCACTTAGCACACTACCACTCTGATGAACTACGCTAAAGATGTTTCCATCAATGCAATGTTCAATTCTAAGTGTAAGAATCTGCGTACTGTTAAGACATATACTATATCTGCAATGCTATTGTGAAGGGTACATAAAAAGACATCGAAATTATGTATTTGGTGAATGACGTAATGCATTTCATGTAAACATTTGTTTGCATTTTGGAAGTAAAGGCGAATACGAGAAATAATCTATGCAAAGTTTTACTCTATTCCGATATTTTATCGAAATTGGTCAGTACAAACGTGGACTAAGTCAGTTATTTGATATCAGTACAATAAATACTGCGATTATAGGTTTAAACTACAGACAGTTAGCCTGATCAACAAAGGGAGAACAGAAGTGTCTTAAGTTCAGTTGCGGCACGCCTTACTTTCATTTGAGAAATCCTTCAAAATCTCACACAAAGTTAAATCAGGCCTATCAAAAGGAGTGAGATAAAAGTATCTTGGTAGTATAAAACCATTGGCAATCAACATTGTAAGCCAATAATCTTCACATAACTAGACAATTCCAATTTTTCCTTACAGCTACTGGAATATTCTGAGGAATTATGTTTGAAATTACTCTGAAGTCAGACAAAGAAGAGAGTATGTTGTCACTTATGCACATAATTAATATGTCGTATCCAGTTACAGTTTAGACTCTATATCACTGACTGATGAAACCTGAAGCTTTTGCTAAATTATTTCAGATGTGAGTGAATCCTTATAGTACTAGCCATCTCAAAATATCCCTTTTTCAAAACAGAATAAAATGAAATCCTCTAAAATGACTTAATGTTTATAAAACATTTCAAATGAAGTGGTGTAATATACATGCTCTTAGCATGTCAAAATGCAGAGTCTTTTGAACACCTTGAGCTGCAATCTACGAATGTTTGGCATACGATTCGCTCCCGCCAAATGCAAGGTGATGCTATAGGATTGGACTACACCGACTCCTAGATTAGAAATAGGGAGTGAAGTGGTAGAGCACGTTGACCGCTTCACTTACTTGCGAAGTACCATCAGCTCCAGTGGATTGATCTCTGACGAAATCTCAGCACGGATACAGAGGGCTAGTTTCGCGTAAGCTAGTTTACGCCGTCTCTGGCGCAGACGTGATATCCGACTATCAACCAAAGGGCGTGTTTACTGCTCAACAGTCCGCTCCGTCCCCCTTTATGGCTGTGAGACCTGGCCATTGACAGTGGAAGACATGAAAAGATTAGCTGTGTTTGATCATAGGTGTCTGCGTTCTATCTCCCGTGTGAAGTGGTATAATAAGGTGAGCAATATTGAGGTTAGGCGCCGAGTGTTAGGTAAGGAAGGGAAATCAATCGACGAGGCTGTGAAATTACATCGACTGAGATGGTTAGGACATGTGTTACGTATGCCTAGTCATCACCTTGCTTGGCGGGCAATGTTAGCTGACATAGGGTCAGGCTGGAAAAGAGCTAGCTAGTGGCGGTCAAACGAAAACATGGCACCAGTCAATGAAATCTACAACAGTTAGTTTAAGCCATTTGTAAACTGGATTCATGCTTCTCCTTCAGTGAACTATTTTCTCAGTGTAATGCTGATTCTAGGAAAATACAGGTAGATAAAATCACAAATCAGTATATTACTGTTATTCCCTTGATTTCCGAATGGAACATACAACTTCATGTCTCCATTTCATTCTGTTCTCCGTGGTCTTCTTTTTCTGGTTCCATGTTTGCCAGTGGGCTCTAATGTTCTTCTCAACCTGATCCCTTACATGTCACCCACAACTGTCTGACTCGTCATTTTCCATGCAGATTTTGAGAAACTCCATGGAAGGTGATGTCACTAAACAGTTAGCTCAGTATATGTCACTTCCAACTGCATTTCTTCGGCATATTTTTAATGGAAAAGGGATTCGTCAGTGGTTCACTGCAGAGTTCGTTTTTGTAACCTCATCTGTTTTAGTGACCCGTCGCAAGCTAGAAAGAAGAGGGAAGGTTGGAAGTGGGGCTAACTATACTTACCAAGAAAATCAACCCAAACTCTAAAGAAACTTCGAAGAAGACAGAAAAAGTCAATATATAGCGAAGCGTAATAATAAAATATAATATTTATGCAAAAGTAAAAAGCTGTTTTTCTTGTGTCATTTCGGTCATATCAACACCTTTGTACACTTTAATGTAATAAATACATAATAAATAATTACATAGCTTGTGTATTTTGTAGAAAGGTGAAATTAGTCAAATTTGCTTCGCTTACATTGTGTTTGCGTGGATTATAAGTGAAAAAATTTGGGTATTTCATAGAAGTTTGTTGGAATTTCATAGTTGAGCAATTCGGTAGCTTTTCATACTTGCCTAACTTGAAGTTGTCAATTTCACCATGATGTGTGTCATCTTCCCTGAAAGTCATATTCATTTTAGAAACTTTTAAAGGATCTTCACTATCTGAATGTCTTACTGTTGGCAAACATATCTTATCAGAATCATTTTTACTCTCAATATACTGAAAATTATCAATGAGGAATGCGGTTGTCGGCTTAGAGTTTACATTATATCGATTTTCATTGTTCCTTGTTTGACATAATGAAGTACAGTGTTGATTTGTATAAGCCGGTAGTTGCTGTTGCTGTTTTTGTTGGGGTATGTGTTTATTATGATTATCAGAAATCTGAGTATTGTCTGACTTCATTAAATTAGTTTCATTTGATAAATTGAAATCTTCACTATGCTGCAGATGATTAGCATAATCTTCAACACACTGATGTTGAGCACAACGATAAATCAGAAAACCAAATGAACTGATTAAAATAATTCCGGTTAAAATTAAGCATACAAACAACCAAATGTTTATTGAATAAGAAGGTTTAAATACTGTAGGATGAAATTTTGATGTAAGTAAGGCATTCGACTGGTTCGATACAGTTGGCTGATTCCAGTAGTGATCCTTTCTGCTGAAACACGATGGACAATTCTCCGGTTTTAAGATAGACAGGTTTGAGTTGTCACTTGTATCTGACGTAATGACATTTGGCGTATAAAATGATAGTTGGGATTTCGATAGAACTTGTTTTTTTTCTTTACGAGGGTTGAAATCACTAAATAAAATTTAATACAATAAGAATATAAAGTTCATAGAGAGGAATAAATGTAAGATCAATAAGAGTAATGTTCGATTCAGTTTTAGATTTTCCCATCGATTGATTGGAGCGAAGTGTTCGGTCTCAGGTTGACATGTCGGCTCCTTAGGCAGATGCTTCGACGATATTTGGGCATGTAACTGGAAGTTAATTGGTGGATGATGACGAACAGTAGAATCCAGAATGTGCATTTCGTCCTATTTGACGTCCACTCTGGCTTTTGAAACTATGAGCACTGGGTTCGAGCCTTAGTGGGAACACCATCACTTACTGTGGAATGCAGGTACATCCAGATGACGAGTCCCAAATAGGACGAAATGAGCATCCTGGATTCTGCTGGTAGTATTCGTCTGCCAGTTAATAAGAGTAATGAGTTAAAATGCAAGATGAATATTCAAAAACAAGTTCAATTACTTCTGCTACCCTGCACTGCTATGAGATCAGTAAGTTCGTAAATACTGGAGAGTTACATGAGACGGTCAATACATCTCCTTCCACAGTTTACTACGTGCAAAGAACAAGCACAGATTTTAATTCACTGTCTTAGTCATGGAATTATACACATATGTACTAATGATTGTATTGAAGATGATATAGAAAATTTGGAAAGTACCCTGCTACAAAATGGTTATCCTACCAGTTTTGTAAATACATCAGAAAAAGCTTTACTTATGCGTACAGGTTAGGGGCGACATATCTAGTGATATATTAAGTCGTATGTAGTTTAAATTTGTTGGAAGAACTTTCAGTTCAACAGAACTATACACCAGTTAATCAGACCTAAATTGACACAGTGCACTGCAGATAAGTTACCAGTAGTGGGCACGTCAGTGTGAGCACTCGAATTTAACTGTTCTTATGGTGATAGTTACATAAGCCGTACTGAGATACATTTATCTTTATGTTCCTTTGAAAATGTACTAATTTGGTTTGCAGAAGGAGTAACCAAATCAGTAAATAGTGATGTCTTATCTCATTCAGTAGAAACTGAACAGCGTGGCAAAATGTATAAATTACCCACTGTCGTATATCGAATGCTAAACGCACTACTTAGTGGTACACGATGACGTCACCTTGTCTCTATTATTCAATTACAGCTCACTTATAACCCTTTTATTTTATCATTTCATTTATTAGTTGCGCGCCCCACAAATTATATTCAGCCTGCCCTATGCGTCGGTGGCACAGTGGTTAGGACTCTCGCCAACCATGCACATGGTCCGAGGTTCGATCCCCTGCCGACGCACACCTGATATCTATGGTCGGCCTGCAAAATGTGGGCTACCGATATCCATACTGAAAATGCCATACTTGTACTGAAAATACAGTGTGGCATCAAGTTGTAACCAAAAATTAAAAAAAAATTTAAAAAAATTAAAAATTTATTTGTTTATATTCCTGTAGTATTCATTTTCTCTCACTCCCCTGAATACAGCTCACCTTATAAATTTAAAACAGTTAGCCTCTTTTATAAATTTGGATAGTGTTAATAGAAGATGGAGATTATCTGAAAAATGTGATGTATTTACGCAATACATTTCGAATAATTAGCTCACACATTTACTTGTCAAGCCACTTTATTTGAAAAATAAAGGCCACTTAAAATGCATGAAGTGAATAAGAGCATTTAAGAATAAATAACACTGCGTCTGGTTATCCAATCAGATAAGGATTAGCAAGGTAGCTTAGGAAAAATAATAAACTGCGTTTATACACACAGGGGGAGGGGCTTAAGTCTACGGATGGCAATCATCTCAGAGTCTTTCAATAAACTCCCCTGACCGTTTTTATAAATAACTTTATTAACTGGTTTATATCGATTAGGTGTTTACCTATAGCTGAGGTTGATAGTCTGCCACCTGCGTCTATCGATTTTTCAAAGTCCCACGATTATCTTACCAAACGTAGCGTTAATTTTTCTTATTATTTTTAAGTGCTCTTTGTCACTTTGTGTACTTCAATTGGCCTTTATTTTCCATATAAACTGACTTGACAAATAAATTTTTGATTAAATTGTTTGAAATGTATTTTTCAGATAATTACCTTATAAAACTCATATTTTTGTTGATTAGAAATGCTGAACCAGGTCACGTAATTGGTTATTCACATTTTATTTGATGTTCATCAATGACTGTACATTTTATATTGCCTTTAATTTATTATCAAAAGTAACGGAGTATTTTTCCATTTTGTACTCGTGTCACAATACATTTTCTGGTGTAATTTTGTTTCACCTTTACTCGTTATGGTAATCTAACATTCAAGAATTTTTAAAAGTTATTGAAGACACCTGTTCACTAAAACTATCCTTGTTTCGAAAATAATGGATAGAAAACTGTGGAGCTTGATTTCAAAGCCGTTGTGTTTTCACACACACATTAACCAAACATTCATTGGACATTAACTCTCTTGAGGAGTATGGGTAAATATAACAATGCAAGATGGCGTCTGAAACCATCATCTTTGCTGTGAATACAGTGACATTCAATAAATACTTATTGGCCCATAATTTTTACACCTTTCGGACTACTTTAGAACAATTAGTACATTTAATCCTACTCCAGAGATGTGGTGGAGATATGTGCATGACACTTTCACAGTGTTAAAAACAGAACATATCTCTAGTTTCTTCACACTAATAAACTCAACAATGAAGGGGATAAAATTTGCATTTGAATTAGAAGGTGAACAAGGAGAATTAGCTGTGGTAGATTATAAAATAAAATGGGAAACGCAAGAAGGTAAACTGTACACTACCAACGCATTCTAATAGATATTTAGACTCCAATTCATTTCATCCGTTATCTGTGAAGGCAGTTTCAGCTGAGTGTCTAACAAAACGAGCAGTAGCACTAATTAGTACATGAAAAAACCCAAATGGTGAAAAGAAACAAAGAGAGGAAGCGTTGGCATTAAATAACCATCCTATAAAATTCATTAGGAAGATGAAAAGCAAGTAAAAATAACGGTGAAACTAATAATAATAACAACATAAATAAGAACGAATATAAGGCATCTACAGATTTTGTTTCAGTTTTACCAGATAAGGAGGGGACATCTGAAACCCTACGTAGGATTCTTAACAAAAGAGGAATTAGGGTGGCATTCAAACCTACATACTCACTCGTGTAGGTCAAGCTCTGTGGGTTAAAGGACCCTGTTAACCCAATTACACAAAATAATATAGTTTACAAAACACCTGGCAATGACTATGAGTGAGGTTAACTACATAGGTCAAACTAGTAGATCGGGCGTAGTCAGATTGTCGGAACATAAGAATTTAGCTAAGGTTAGAATGATGGACCCCACGAAGATAAGTAATTAAGAAAGAAATTCAGCAATTGCAGTGAATGCATTAACACACAACCACACAATAGCTTGGTGGGAGGGGGTTAACATTTTAAGAAGTAATATAGGTAGGTGCACAGAGAGATTGATTACTGAATCCTTGTTCATCGAATCTTCACCCAACACGTGCAATAGGAATGACTCATCACCAGTACCAGAGATATGGAAAATATCACTACCAATCAAACCAACAGATGAAAAGTAGTGGAATTATATGAAAGAAGTTAGAAAGTTGTGTGAGTAACATGACATGACTACTAACAATTAACTGTGCTCGAAAAGTCAGTAAATATTGCTGTATAACACTGAACGACTTTATCAAAATAAATTTTCTCCATAATGGAATTATGCAGTACTACACTGCCCAGGTTCTATTCTGATATCAGCAGTTCGATTAGTGTCTTTTTTAAAAGAGAAATGCACAGAATAGCAAAAAATGAAAATACGACAGAAAATGTTTACAGTTGCAAACTTACATGTAAAAGGGACTATTTGGTCCTAATTTGAGCTGAAATCTACCGATGTGTTCAACTTCCAAATACCTTATAACTTTGACAAACGTGAGATGTTTTATGCCTGCTGCAAGATCTGTCAGTAGTAATCCATTGTAATAAACTCCTGCGATAAAAAAAGCAAACAAACAATGACAATCATGGCTTGATTCAAAAAAGTACTTTTGATACAGGGTGGGGTTTTTAGCATGTGTCATAATAGTACATTTAATTCTCTACCGGGCAAGCTGCAAATAAAGACCGTACTGAAAGTCCGACAAGATGACTTTTGACAACTTCTTGAACGGGTTCAGACGTCTATCAACAACAATATTAACGAGTCGACTTAAAGGTACACCACTTGTCCTACTGGCAGCTTTTAGTAAACTTAAGCTTCAGTTTTGATTCTATAAGGGCGGGTAAAGTCGAAGGAAGTCTTTTGATAAAATGGAATTTAATTCATCATTATCAACTCGCTATTGACTAACGCAGAAATAAGAATCAGCTTTCCATTCGATTCTAACTTTGCTCTATTTATTGATTAAACATACAAAATCTTCTGGAATTCAATCAGTTTTGCGTATTTCTGAGTTCGTAGCATCCGTCAAGCCAGTGTCCTTAGTCTTTATTCGATATTTTGAAATTAATGCAACTAAAAACGAGTTCACGTGTTTGAACTTATTTGCCAAAACAGATCTGTCGTGCCACAAATTGTCTGAAAGTTGCACAGACTGAATTAGGTCAGGCACCTAGTACTCACTGTTTGCAGGCTGAAAGCTTAAGTCATTTGGTTACATCTTCACTGAATAAATTATTCACTGTCAAAACGCTATGCATCTGAAGTAAATATGGAAGAGGCTGCAAAATTTAAATCATTCAGCTGTACGTATATTGTGTCTTTAATGCAAAAGAAATGTTTACCAGTTAACTGAAAATTAACCTCTATTGATGGTATTACTTATAAGACTTCCTTGTTACATTGTATAAAAGGTTAGATAACCAATTCTTAGTCCTAAAGGTAACTAGTGTCTTAAAACAGAGTGTTAAGTTTAGGAATTCCTCTTTGCATATTTTCTAAGTGATGACAAAAATGAATCTTTGGGTTCCTGCGTTGTTGTTTATAATCTCTGTCATCAAGTAAAGTAATATATTCTATTTTTTACAGCATTACGTTCCGATTGGAAAATATGTTTTCAAGTTAGAGCTTAGAAGTTTGGATCACAGTGGGTTTTTATTTTTACAGGATGGAATTGCTAGCCTCACGCCTAACCTTCCCATTTTACTGGCCTTACTACCGGCTTAGTGAATTTCAGAATCTAGTCGACTGAGGATCGAACCCCATATCACGCGGGTGGTTGGCGAGCGTCCTACTTCTGAACCACCGACGTGGTGATAATACTTAACATTAACTACTGATTTAAATTTTTACTGATTTGGCTTAATAAATTGAATGATATTTCAAGTATTTGTTTGTAGGGATTTGATTGGTTACAGGATTTCATCATGAACCGACATCGGTTACATAACCATTGGAAAACCTGGGAGTACTGGACAGATGTTTCACCCTAGCTTTTGGGACCCTTCATCAGTGCGCACCCACGCCAGGGTTAGAACCCAGGACCTTCTGGTTACAAGGTGAGCTCGTATACCATTAAGCCACTGGGACCCGATTCAATGGCCACCTATGAATTCTAACTTCTGCCAATTCACGATATAGCGTAACCGCTAGCCAATGTCTTCGGCGAGTATTTGTCCTCACACCCGACCTACTGCACCCTACTGGTCACGACTTCCCACTGGAACCCCAGGTAACCACCTACCTGAATAGGGCCAGTCGCCAGTGAGCATCTCATTGTTATTCAAGTATTGGTTTGTAGGGATTTGGTTGATTGGTTACAGGATTTCATTATTAACTGAAACACAAAAGTTTGGGTATCTCTACCTTCCAAAACAATCGTTATTTTAATTAACTGCTATCATTCCATTACTTCATTTGCTTCTGAGTGGAACATATGGCTTCCCTAACACGTATCCATTTTACCTTATTTTGACGCAGTCCTTTACATCTGGCTCCAAGAATAACCAAAACATTTCATCTACTTTTAACACGACCTCCTACATGTGAAATTCAGACGCCCACCTCGTCACTTTCCATTCAGATTTCACTCGATGGCTTGTCTAGCACGTGATTTGATTCAACGTTCTCCTTATTTTATGTCCAGTCCATTTAAGTTCCCTTCTGCGTATTTATTGAGTGAAAGATTCTTAGTTGGTTTGTCACTAGAGTTTCTTCTTGCTAGTCTTTTCTGTCCATCTGGTCTACATTATACAGCCAGTGAAGGTATCTGTTGAGAAAAGTCTGCAGCAAGCTATTGGAAACGTTTTGTTCGACTCATCAAGTCTCTGAATCATATAAAAGCACTGACCGAATTGACCTCGGCCCTGAAAATCCTAATCTTGTTCCTTATGCTGAGTTCAGTAGCTGATTTCAAGAAACATACTGATACATGTGAACAGCATAAATTTAGGTTTATTTTCCTGGAACTTAAAAAATTAAATAATTTCCCAGCGTGTGAATGGCCAATGGATTCTTCTTGTAACCTGAAGATCCTAAGCCCAATCCGTGATAGGGTCATGGATATGTACTGCTGAAAAGTCCCAGGCTAGAATGAAACAACTGTTCAACAGAAAATTATAGAACCAAAATGAAGCCATTAACAAATCTTGATGTAACTGTGAGCAGTGAACTGTACCAGAAATATCATTCATTAAAAATATCACTGTACCAAATAAACTAACAAGGGATTGCACTCCATCAGGAGAATAAAGGTCTACTCATGTATCTACTTATTGTTTAGTCATCAGAGCATGTGACAAGCCAAACAGTTCAAGTTGAAGAGTTCACTTTCTTTTCATGTGTTATATTTCATGTTTGCTTCCAATACAAAAAATTCCGCCACACATTTGAATGGAGTGAAAACATTAAGGGTGGCTACTTGAACTGCTGCACTTTTGTGGATGTTTCTATGCTGAAACTCTGTCAGTCATTTAGAGTAGAAACACTCTTAATATCTAGAAGACAACTTCTACAACTCAACGATCATCGCATTTTGACTCGGAGCTCAATTTTGATTTGATTATCTTGAGTTCTATCGAGTACAACGTCTAGCATTTGCACTATTGAAGACTTTTAAGCCATAAGGTAATAGCTCTCGAATGTAGTTGTTCTACGAACTTTGATTCGTGGCAAGAACTAGTTTAGATCGCATTCAAAAGTCTGAAGCCAGTGATTCCCTTTTAGTTTGAACAACGAATTCCGTCACTGAAACCGTCACGCCTGTTTCTAGTGACGAAGTTAATAAATTGCCAATGAGAATAATATTATTCAATAATCAAACAAGTGTAAGTTAGTGTAATCAAATACGGTCGAGAAAAAGATAAACATAATGGGATACCTTAACAGACAAGAAAAATGCTTGAAAACACAAACCTGATAGATAACCCCTTATGAAATCTGATCGGTTCGATATCGGTGAGTGACCCAACCAAATATGCTGAATTTTCATTAATGAACTGAATTCATCTGAAATTGAAATAAACCGAAAGGTAATCAAGAAAGTAGTGGAGATTTTACCAGAGTATCTTGAATAGATAAAATTCATGCTTTTGGAATGCATAAGTAGTCTTAAGGTTTAGAATCTGAATACACCATTGTTGAGACTGTTCGTGATCCATTCAAATTGGTACACTAATATTCCTGCAGTATACTTGTACAGGAATTTACATAGGAACAGTGCTACACCAAACTCCAGAGATTTTGAATTAAGCATGTTTACTTCTCGGGAAAAATGTTTTCTCACCAGTAACTTGTCCTAATACCTGGGGTTCCAGTGGGAAGCTGTGACCACTAGGGCAGAGCAGGTCGGGTGTGTGAACAAATCCTCGCCGAAGACACTGACTAGTGGTCACGCTATGTCGTGAATTGGCAGAAGTTGAGATTGATAAACTGGCCATTGGATCGGGTCCCAGTGGCTAGCTCGCCTTGTAACCAGAAGGTCCTGGGTTCGAATCCCGGTGGGTGCGTACTGCTGAAGAGTCCCAAACTAGTATGAAACAGCTGTCCAGTACTCTCAGCTTTTCCACTGGTTATCTAACTGATGTCAGCTCATGACGAAATCCTATAACCATCAATCAAATCCCTACAAATCAATACTTGAATTTTCAAACTACATTGTTCATATGATTTATCTATAATTACATGTGGGGCATTTTTATAAATTTCACTAAAAACCTGCCGCTTGCACGTGTGAATGTAGGTGTTCAAACTTTATAAATATTTATCTTTCACTAAATGTTAGGAATCGATTAACATGAATCCCCAATAAGCATAAGGTCCATGCTAGTCTTGGGAAAGTTCACTTTCACTGTGACGTCTTTATTTGCTTCACTAACAGCTCAAATAAGACATGTTACCCATCCAACTGTATAACTTGTATTTGAACTAGCTGAAAACCAGACATACAATCATTTCCAGTTAGTTTACATTTGTAAAAGCAGTTATAAAGATGTATGATTTACAAATACGTTGAATCACTGGATATTTAATCAAAATTTACTGCAATCTCTTATAGTCTAAATGTTTCTTTCAATAGTATTTATTTTTTTTTAATTTTTGATTACAGCTTGATGCCACACCGTATTTTCAGTACAAGTATGGCATTTTCAGCATGGATATCGGTAGCCCAAATTTCACAGGCCGACCATAGATATTGGGTGTGCGTCGGCAGGGGATCGAACCCCAGATCATGTGCATGGTCGGCGAGAGTCCTAACCACTGTGCCACCGGCGCCTCTTTTGAAACGACATAGAATTCCCTTTACTAAAAGGAATCCTAGCTAATACAGTATAATGTGTGAGAAAAATTAATGTATTATGAAAGTTGTGAGGAGTTACGCTACTCAGAGTTGTAGATACAGGTATAGTGGTTTTAAGATTCATCAGTAAGTATTAATTTGCTATCAGAATTATTGGAGAGCGTTATGCTCATCAACTTATTTGCTGTAATCTACTTTACGCCTAACAAATATGCAAGATATGGTACAGTTTGCGATGAAGTAAGAAAATATCTACTTTATGTCAAAAAGTTTACTGAACATGAATTATCATTAGGGAGATCTGTTTGAAACATGCTAAGTCATCCTCCAAAGTCAGTTGAGTTTATTTCTGACCTGTGGAGAACGCCTGCACCTATCTACCAAGTGATGCGACCCGTCCTTTGTCTTTTCCCTAGTTCTAAGCCAGTATTTCGTCCATAAAGGCTAGTTCTATTTGCCACCCCCCCTACTCTTAAACAAAGCTGATGTATGGTTACATGACTAACAGTAACGAGACAGATTGACACCAGGCATTTTCCTATCCTGTGTGGTACCTATTTTAGTTTATGAGATGGTAAATGACTGTTCACAAATAGTATTCGATGACTTTTATATCAAAAGTCATCTGTGAACCACAATGCAATAATACTGCATTAAGTGATTAAATGCATACATGTAATGATGGGGAAAGTAGCATTTGGATTTCAAAAAAATCTCTCAATCACCAGTCTACTCATATTCCCCTTTAATTTTACTAAAAAAATATTCTTTGAATATAGTACATTCATTCTCCTCATTCATCATCCTTGTTCATCAGAATTATAGAGAGGTAAGTGAACGTCGATGAAATTAAAAACATATTACACAATTTGTATTTCAACTTCCATACAAATCAGTGCAATTATGTTTTAAACTAAAGTAGGCTAACATGAGCATTATTCAAAGCATATTTAACACATACTGTATAATCTATAGATAGTATGATATTGATCAACTTCGAGTAGAACTTGATTACTTGAACGAATCCCTCGAATTCTATGATAATATCCATCTTGTAAATTTACTTTTGGTCCATCGATTACAATCACTGAACCGTCCAAATGAAACTTCATTTTTAAATATCCCTTTTCCTGTGAATGTAAAACACAAATATAGAAATGAAGGTGAATAATGAAGTCTGGATTCAGTAGTATCTTTTGCCCAATTAAAAACTTGATAAGGCATCCAAAATGACAAAAAGTGTGTTTCTCACAGATGAGAATATAAGCAGTGGCAGGTCAAATTAGTATGAAAAATGGCCTTACGAGTTCCCTGAAAGTAATAATTACATATGTTTGAGCTGCCTGATAAGAAACACGCTTTTTGAAGATTTGGACGTATCCCCGGCCGATGCACTCCTTTACTTCGGTAAGCTTTTAATAAGACCAGCAAAGAGGGGAGGTTAGGCATAAGGGTAGCAAACCCACCCCGTAAAAGAAACACCACTGCTACCGAAACTCCAAAGCTCTAGCCTGAAGCCCTGTTTTCCACTGGTGACGTAAAGAAAAAATAAATAAATATTGGTGTTCTGCAAGTTAACTGACAAGATATTCATAAATTCACTGACACACACTATCATTACACAATTTATATTAGACACTTACCAAATATACATGAAGATACGTCAAGTCTATCTTTTCTCCACTGGACGCATATAATAAAGTTATAAAATCATTTGCAGCTTCATAGCGATCACTGTTTTCAGTCATAATTAAGTCCAGTTGTATTCCCAGACTGAACACCTCTACCACAGCATCGCTACTGGTCGTCGTTGGTGTCTTCAGCATACCATTTGTTTTAATTTGAAAGTACACAAATCCAATATGTTGTTTCAGTTCAGTTAAAGTTTCGTTTAAATTGAACAAGTGAGAAATTGAACCAACTTTACCAAAGTGCAGCGTGGTTCCAGCTGATTGGATAAAAGTAAACAAATATAAATAAGTGCTTTTAATTTTTCAAATGTTGGCTTGCAGAGATTCGTTTAGTTAAAGGTTTTATCACCAGCTGACATCAGTTAGAGAAGCGCTGGAAATTCAGAGAGTACTGGACAGCTGCAACGTCCTAGTTTGGGACTCCAGAGGTACTTGCCTACCGAGGTTTGGACACAGGACCTTCCGGCTACAAAGTGGGCTCTCCCTCTCTGGAACTTTTAGTTGTTCTGAATGATCTCAGAGAGTCAGCTGAGAATTTATGTGTACAAGGTGTCCAAAAATCAAAGTTGTAGATCTTAAATAATTTGTCATTTTGTTTGACAGTTGATACGATGTCAAAATTCCTATTAACCCTTTGTAAATAACACACAAACATCTTAGTAGATCTCTGATATCACAATTCGTTCATAAGCTTCCCTCAGGTATCTTAACGAATACATGAAACACAGAATCAGATTCCTTACGTACAAATTACGCAGTCTTTGGGCAGAATTCACGACAGTTTCTTTTTACAGACCTAAAATGCTCCGATAACACTATTGGTGACCTGCTTGATACCATAAGTGACAGTGAAGAAAATAAGCCAAGTATGTGCCGCTAACAAATATGAATAGTTGAGAGTCACTCACTTCGATCCAAGTAGCAAGCACTTGACATGAATAGATTCCAGTTACTAACACCAATTAGTAGTATATTCCTTCATTCATTAATCACTATCTTCCAACTAGTTTATCTACTATAAATATGTAGAAACTATCTCCGACCAAGCCTGTGACCTGCGGGTAACTAGAAACGAGTCAGAATGTCCAAACCACCAGAATTACTGGAGAAATTACCATTTGTCAGGTTGACACCAATCCCATAATTATAGTGATGGTATTACTAATAAAATAAAAACATTGAGTCCCTGCTCATCAGTGAATACAATGCTGGAATGCTGTATGGAGTTAATTTTGTTAAGCACACCTGAATAAATACTACTAGGTAGAACGAATTAGCCAGAGGATATTGATACAAGAGGAAAAATCAAAATGGTCAATGGATTATTTATCAAATAATGCACATTTATAATACAGTAAAATTCAGAGACATTTCGGTAATATTTTTATTTTCTTTTATATTTTATTATAGCTTGATTCCACACAGTATTTTGGTACAAGTATGAAATTTTCAGCATGTGATATTGGTAGCCCAAATTAAGCAGGCCGACCATAGATATCAGGTGTGCGTCGGCGGGGGATCGAACCTCGGACCATGTACATGGTCGGCGAGAGCCCTAACCACTGTGCCACCGACGCTACTGCAACAGGCCAGTGTCATTGGGTGAGTATCTGTCATCAAACCCACTAGTCACAACTTCTCATTAAAAATTCAGGCAGCTGCATCCTGTATCAGATTAATTTCGCGAATTAACAGAAGTTGGGGTCATGGATCACTGGATTTCGTCCCAGCAGCTGAATGTTCAACGAGCTTATCCTGTGACGCGAAGGTGTTTTGTTAGACCCTTGGTGGCGTTGTGTTTGGAAGCTTCAGAAAATTCTCAAACTAGAATGAAAAATCTGCCCAGTACTCCCTGGTTTTCAGTAGTTCTCTAACTGATGTGAATCTGCGATCAAACTTGATATTATTCGATTACTGAAATGCAACTTTCAGATGGGAGAAACACTCTGTTCGTCGGTAGTAAAACCTCAAATCTAACTATCATTTATAATGTGGAGCCTCCGCCTAGTATAGGAAAATATTTGGATTTAGGAATTTGCAACTATAAACCTCATTTAGAATTATCACTTTGTGTACATTCAGCTGATTTCAGAATGCACTTAACACTAGAGTAGACAAAACTCAATTATATATGTCCAAACCAAGTTCACTTTTAACGGTTTGAAAAAATTTGGCAATTGGGTATATGATATTCATTATAATAAAGGTTTTTTTGTATTTTCCAATGAATTAAAAACAAAACGATATTGTTGTTTTTACTGACGTTTTGCTATTTAATGCTAATAGCTTTATCAAAGTATTATTAAACCAGAATTTACAAAATCTCAGCTTATATATAACAACTTAATCATCGTTCCTCAGCATAGGGTCATTTTTGCGTTGTCAAGTTGGCCAATTGGTAAAGATAACAAAACCAGGTGTAGATTGTTGGATTTGATAAGTGTGTAAAATTATAAAAGCAGCGTGTGTTTACATAATGAAATTGCTTATCAAATCCGTTTTCATTATGTAAACACACGCTGCTTTTATAATTTTACACACTTATCAAATCCAACAATCTACACCTGGTTTTGTTATCTTTACCAATTGGCCAACTTGACAACGCAAAAATGACCCTATGCTGAGGAACGATGATTAAGTTGTTATATATAAGCTGAGATTTTGTAAATTCTGGTTTAATAATACTTTGATAAAGCTATTAGCATTAAATAGCGAAACGTCAGTGAAAACAATATCGTTTTGTTTTTCATTCATTGAGAAATACAAAAAAACCTTTAATATAATGAAGACCAAACTCATGTTCAACTACACTTAGGTTTTTTTGATCTTTGCTCTCTGACTGTAAACATGTCATCAGAAGGCTAGGCAGTCTTATCATCTGTTATTTTCTGTTATATGCGGAGTATATTCAAACCTTAATTTTAAGTAGAATGTAAAGTGAAAATGATTATCTCTCACACAAAGAGTGGCACTATCTTCATTTGTTAAGTGGATTTAACTCTTCCGTATCGATTTAATGCCAAACTATTCAGTGATCTCTGTTACATGCACTCCAGTTACCTTAAGCCTTTAAATATTCCCATGTCAAGGTAGGGTAGGTCACTGGACACAAGTTGTTTAATTAACTGAAAAGCATAAACTATTGGTTAACTGTTTGCAGCCAATTAACGAGAATCCCTGAATGTAGGTGTCGCATTAATTGGCACCTGTCAGCAAGTTGTGTATGCTACCTCGTTGGAATTGATGTCACCTTGGAGATTCGAATCAATATCAACCAGTACTTCATTCAAAGATGTTAGAAATGAGCTATTGAGGATCGCAACTGACTTCCTGTAGAAGAGTAGTGAATACGAGCACCTTCTATTACACTTTCTAATACTTATATCGAATAAAGAAACACTACGATGACGATATGTTATATACTGTCTATTTGTTACAAGAAACAAATTTTTTTACAAACACTGTTATTTAATAACCACTGACATAGCTGAATCGCACAACTTTATAAACCGCAGCCTTTTTAAAAACAATTGACGTTGTCTGTCTCCAAGTACTAAGTTTATATGTAATGAACTAAACAGCTTTAGACTAGAAAGAAACATTTACCTTGCATCTTTTGTTTTCAGTGATTCTTTCGTTCATACCAGTCCCTTTTAAATGAAAATATCATGTCATCTAATCTAATTAAAAAGGTATTTATTCTGCTATGTTGTGTCATACAGAATAGAAAAAACAATTAGAAGCATAGCTTAACTGAGTGAAATTGAATATTCTTTGCTTTCAGAAATTTACTTTATCAACTTTGGCTTTCTTTTTCATCTGCTGAATGTTAAATTATGACTTGAATGCTTTTGTTACATTTCACTGTACTTACCTTCATTGCATCGATGGCCTTGAAATGTAGTTAAATCACAAGCACAATAGAATTTGTCCATTTGTTTCAAGCATTTTCCCTGATTGTAACATGTGTTTAAACTAACCAGTTCCTTTCGAATATCAAGATCATAAAAAGTTGGTTCATATGAGTAAATATGTCTTCTGTTGGTTAAAGCACAGCTAGATGACTCAAACTCACAACCTGAAACTATCTGATAAGAGCACTCATCACTTGGAAGTATCTGAGCAGATTGCAATAAAGCGATTGTAGGTTCGGAGTTTAGTTGAAAGTTCGCCATGCAACCCTATTGTGGGATATGAAAAATAATAATAAAATTTATGATGATAAGGTAATAAGTATGACCACTTAGTTTAGTATGATTATATAGTCACTTGTCATAAAATCAATTGGTTGGAGGATTTCATCATGAGCTGCGTCGGTGGCACAGTGGTTAGGACTCTCGCCGACCATGCACATGGTCCGGGGTTCAGTCCCCTGCCGGCGCACACCCGATATCTATGGTTGGCCTGAATTTGGGCTACCGATATCCATGCTGAAAATTCCATACTTGTACTGAAAATACAGTGTGGAATCAAGCTGTAAATCAAAATAAAAAAATAAAAAAAATAAATAAAAAATTAGTTAGAGAACCATTGGAAAACCTGGGAGTACTGGACAGCTGTTTCGTCCTAGTTTAGGACTCCTCATCAGTACGCACCCACCGAGGTTCGAACCCAAGACCCTCTGGTTACAAGGCGAGCTCATAGACCACTGAGCCACTGGGAACCGATACAATGGTTCTTGAATTCTAACTTCTTCCAATTCGCGATATAGTGCGACCATTTCGCAATGTCTTCTACGATGAGTTACTGCCTCATCTTTGATCTGCTGTACCCTACTGGTCACGGCCTCCCACTAGAACCCCAGGTTAACTGCCTGAATTAGGCCAGTCGCTAGTGAGCATCAAGTTAATTTTCAAGTATTGGTTTTTAAGGGATTTTTTGTTTGATTGGTTGGAGGATTTCACCATGAGCTGAAATCAGTTAGAGGAGGAGTCCCAAACTAGGACGAAACAGCTGTCCATTACTCCCAGGTTTTCCAGTGGTTCTCTAACTGATGTCAGCTCATGATGAAATCCTCCAACCAGTCAAACAAAAAATCCTTACAAAACCAATACTTGAAAATAAAATCAATTAACAAATAATAGGCATAAAGAAATGAAAATCCTTAGTTGCCAACTAACTAATTCAGTAAAATCCGTCAGTAATATCCGAGATATGTGAGGAGACAGTAGGTCATTTAGAACAGTGAATAACAGTCGTAAGCAGTCGTAATACCTTAAACTAAATCACGTGTTGACATCGAAAGAAAGTCCTACTAGTCCTACTGCCTGATTCGGTTATGAGATAGCCTTGCCTGAAAATCCTAAAGCAAAGCAAAATAACGCCATTCACCACTGCTTAAGTTTGGGTTGTTTTCTAAAAGATGCAAGCCAGTTAAAAACAAAATTTGCTATGAAAGCAAGTGAGTCTGTGAAATTCCCAAAGCCTAAACATCAGAGAGAAAATAATGACATTCGATGAATTTTAGGTAATTTGATCCGATTTCTTTGATAACATTTCTTCTATTTTCAACAAAGTCTATGCAACTGTTTGAAGAGGGCTAGAAAAAACGGGATTACATTTTTTTTATAAGTGCGTGTTGAAGGTAAGAATTTAAAAAAGCAAAATTAATTCCCCTTGCAAATGTCGTTGAACTTAAAACTGTGTCACGAATTTTTATTTTTCTGATAATAGTTGACAAGGCAACCATTCATATTTGAAAGTAACAACAGGATGTTTACCTCAGAGTTAGATGCCATATGAAGATGGTGATAAAATTGGTAGTCTTAATTCTATAAGTATTAATATATTTCTCTAAAAGAATACAGCGCTCAACATTAGTGATAAAATTAACGATCTCATCAGATGGATGATTAATTAACCTTTTAATGTGGCAACTTCACTCATCCTTTCCTTAATGACAACGTGAACTTAAGTCAGCATTGAAGAGGTCTGCATTATTGTGGTCATATATTTTGATATGCAATGAAAATGTTTAACAACTGTGGCAATGGAACACTGAACTGTAAACTATCTGATACGTAGGCCATTATTATTTCTCTTCCGTTTGTTTTGCTATTCTCCTAGCTTGTGCAGTTTTGAGCTGAGGCTTCCTTGTCCCTTGGAAAGCAACACTATAAATGACTCCGATGCTGTCGTTGTAAGCTAAACAGAAGTAAACTTTATACGTAAGACCTACATTCTCGGGTTTATTTAGTTAGTAGTTTTAAAATGCGTAGAATAAAATATTGGGACTGATGCAGGAACTGAATAACAATATCAACTAGGATTTAAATTCAATCATACCATTCGCACGTAATTGTTTACAGGAATTTGATTGAATTCAAGTTAAATCAGGAATTTAAATCACTTGGAGAACCACTGAAAATCACACAGTACTGGAAATCTGTTTCGTTCTAGTTTAGGACTGTCCAACAGTCCACATCCATGACCCCACAAGGGATCAAACCCAGGAAGTTCAAGTTATGAGTTGAACTCGGTAATCAATCAATAAATAAGACAGAACTCATTAATGGTACAATGATTCCAACTTCCACTAGTATGCGATGTATAACTCCATCCCTATTTAATGTCATCAGTGAGTATTTAATCACACATCCAACTTCTCATCAGAATTAAAAACAATTCCTGCAATTGGTGTAACTGAGGACAGTAGTTTTGCGCAAAATAATGCGAAAATAAAAAAACATATCATTGTATTTCAATAACCACTGAAATATGATTATAATTAATTCTCATTAGAGTTCATATTTTGGAATTCGGTAGCACTTAGAACTCATTGGAAATAGATTCCGTTCAAAGGGCTGACTGCTTAAATGACTTCGTGTCGTAACTCAAGGTTAGCAGGTTTTCTAACTGATGTCGGTTCCAGATTTTACTTGAGATCACTAGATTTTTGAGAGCAATAATCACCTTCAAGCATAATTTCAGCATTCCCTTGACAAAGCTACTGTATAAAATATACACTTACATAGAGCAAGCTACCATCATATAGTTAAAATTTTATGGAAATACTGGGTTGGTAGGATTTTTTTCCATGTCATGAAATCAAGAACTGTACACTCACTGTTTATCAGTTTATTTCAGCGCATGTATTTGATGAGTGACCTGAGGTGCATTTATTGATATTTTTATTTAGTGCTGTAGTAACAAGATGGAAACTTCCTTTTGAATATTTTTGTATTACTAGTGTATTCGTCATTATAAATATAAGATTATTAGAGAAACAGGTTGCAAAAGACAAACGATAAATGAGACAGTCCCCGAGAAATGTAGTGCCTTAATTACCTCTTAGGATAGAAGTCTAGAATGTTGGATGGTATATTTCGAGGAGTAATTTGACTAACTTACAGACACGCTCTGCTTACCAAGAATTTAACGCCTCCTTGAATGGGATGTAGATGTCGGTCCGTCTATTATACTTGAGGTTGCAAAGCTGTCTGTAATCTGAAACGAATCAAAGTGACAGGATCTAACGGAATGATTCTAAAAATGTATAAAGATGGTGATGACCAACTGTTGTCTGAGTTAACTAAGGTATCAGTTAATGTCTGGGAATCAGAGAAAGTCCCATCAGACTGGTGTAAGTCACTGATTATCCCAGTTTATAAGAAGGCCGACAAGTCTTCTTGTGATAATCAAAAGGAGATAAGCTTAACTAATAATGATATACAAAGTTCTTGGTTCGGTAATCATGTGCAGATTAAGTGGTGCTCGAAAAAAGCAAACGCGAGAAAATCAGGGAGGCTTCAGGCCAGGAATAGAGTGCATTGATCATATCTTCACCCTTCATCAAATCTTGGCATACTCACTGATTTACTATACTTGCCGTCTTACTTGACCACGAAAATGGTATTTGGCTGATGTACTATGGCAATTCTCAGCCGAGGAGAGAGTACCGAGAAAGTATATCGACCTAACCGAGGCACTCTACCAGAACTCATGCAGCCGTGTAAGAGATAGAGAAGGGGTACCATCTGAAGTGATAGCAACCGGTAGAGTCCATCAGGGATGTCCAATGTCCCCATTTCTATTTAATTTCGTCAATGATGTACTAACAGAATTAACTCACGGGTTAACTTATTACCAAGGAATGATCTCGTTGACTTAGATTATGTGGATGATATATTCCTCCTAAGTGAAGACACTGGCAAAATGCGGTCTTCCGAACACGTTGAATAGAAATTAATCTTCGAATGTTTGAGTTGCAATATACTTCTGGCAGATGCAAAAGGATACTACAGAACTGCACTACACCCACTTTTAGCTTGAAGGTAGGGAGTGAAGTGACTCAGTGTGCTGACCATTTCGCTTATTTGGAAAGCCGCACAAGCCTTAATGTACTGATTGTTAACGATATCTCATGAAGCATTTCCAAAATTTTATCATCTCTGGCACAGACGCAATTAAGTTTACTAATATTAATAATAATTTATTTCTGAGAAGTGTCTTAATACATATCGCAAAATTCTCAGCATGTCCCATTGCAAAGCATTTAAGCCTGGTGTAGAGAATATTCAAGTAACTTAATGATCGGTAATATATCATTTGAAGCAATATCTTTCTATCCGATGCATGCTCTAAACACCTTCTATGCGTTTTGCTCTATTCCCTTTGACATATCCATAATGGTTAGTTGAATCCTATTTGAAAACGGAAGTGAGCACAGAATGCGATACAAAGAGGTAATTGAATAAATAAAACAAAATGAAATGGGGATGAAAAATAAGGTAACCCATTGGTTTAAGCAGACCTCCAAGTACGAAGAGGATGTAAGAGGTTAAATAATAATGCAAAATTAGTAATGATCAGCAATTCTGAAAAGCAGAAACAGATGCTTAACAGAAAGAAAGTAATAAAAGATCTTTGTTTTTGGAATCTAAGCTAAATCGCTTAAGAAGAACTCAGATTCATGACATTTTTAATCATACCTTCAATGATCGATAGCTGAGAAGTGGTCGACGGTTTGTGAAACTTTTCGTATGAACATACTTCTACATATAGTAACGAATTCTTCTCAATTATGGATTATAAGCAGATGTTATCTGATGCATTAAGCCAACATTTCTACACAGCTTAAGCCTGAATGTAACTTCATTATTTATTAAAGAAGAATAAAAACAAAACTTTAACCGCATAGTCAGTGTCTAGACAAAAAATGTCAGCAAGTAACATGAAACCACCGTCCACCAAAGACTACATTACTCTGCTAAGTGGTCATATCCAAGTGTTTACTGTCAGTCACTCACTGGTCAATATTTAAAACAACCAGACATCAATTAACAATTTAGGCATCAAAATTGTACCACAGTGTCGTAAGATGCGATTAAACAAACCTGAAAGCCAGTTCTAGACTTAATTTTTCCTCTGAATCTCATGAGGTCTGATGTTGAACTCCCACCAATATTGATGATGGAATTTGAAATGAATTCCTCAGTGTTAAAAAAATTTGACAGTCGTGCACTTGTAATTGTTTCCATAGTAGTTTCCGTATCTACTCGAAATATTATCACATTATTTTCTTTCGGCGACCTGATGACAGAAAATAGAATTAAAGGCATAATTATGCATGAGTTAATCCTGTGTTTTTCTCAAAAATACATTTAGGGAAAACAGATTCGTCAAACTTTAAAAATCCAAGCTTTTGATGGAAAACGTAGGAATCAGGTTTTTATTTTCATTAAGAATGGAACATAGGGCTTCAAGTTTCGGAGTTTCAGTATCCATGGGTCTGTTCCAATGAGGTGTGTCCGTTAGCCCCGAAGTCTAATCTTCCCTCTTTACTGGGTGTGAACGCATATCTTCCACCTGAGCATTCTACCACTGAACGACCAAATCAAACCATTACCAACAGGCAATGTGTATTTTGCAGAAAGAACTATGAAATTTCAATTAAATCTACACTTTATTTAAGCTTCATAGATACGTATTTCGATTTAATTCCGAAAAAGAGGTATCTCTTCAAAATAGTTAAACAATTCTTCTAACTGCAACAACTTCCAAGCCAAACACATAAAGCCGAAAACTTTGAAGTGGTAAATTTTTCGTCTAAGAAACACTGTGCACATATATTGTGATAAGACTGAACACAGTGGCATGGAGTTTCTATTCTCCCTTCGAATCTCCCTTCTTTATATTTCTGAGTTTCGTTCATGAAATAACAAGCCACCATCAAATGAAGACATCCTCTGGAATGTACCACTGATGTTTGTCAGTATAGACTGAGTAAGCATTCACTGTACTTAATAGGTTAATGCATAGGTCAAATCACTATTTGAATACCTCGATAAAAGGATTTATTGATGGAGTTGACCTCAAATTTTCAATGGATGAGAGTGCCATCAAACCATATTGTTTAATTTGTTAATACTACCGTGTTTAAATCAATTAGCCTTTAATAAATGGGATCATTATTAAGTTCTATTGTAAGACGGATTTAATTTAGGGTCACTGAGCTTAGGCATCTCAGAGTAGAAAGGATATCAAATTCTTAGAGTGCTGTTAACTAATTTGTTTATAAGTACCTCCAAAAGTCGATGCAATCCAGCTGCACAGTAACCATCAGTATACTAACAAACTTTTCAAAAATTCTTCAGAATTTCATTTGATAACTGTTCAAACCCATAACAAAAATATCACGTTCCTATACACCGTTATAACTCATAATCTTTGAGATTATTCAGTCACATAGGTGAATCCCTTAGTCTTTTCTGACACATGGGCTCTATCTACAGGCTCTTTTATATGACTTTGAGCGCGAATTCGGTAGTGTCTGAAGAAATCAATTCATTTTCGCAATTTACGAAGGTATAGTGTCACAATCTTTTTAAAACAGAGTGATATCCATTGAGAAGGGAATGACTTTGGCGAGTGACACCATAAACCGTAATCAGTTGAAATTTCAGGTAAATATAGTTTTCAACTATCAATGTTGACCCAAATCAGTGTGTAAATTGAGGCGTGTTTTTTGTATACAAGAAGGTGTCATCGTCCACTAATCAAGTTGGCTACACATCTCACCTGAAAACTTCAACGGTGTGCCATTTTGAATCATTGAATAACACGTTTGATTCCACTGTGTTTGTTGTCACTAATTCGTTGTTAAAATTTACACTGAAATATATCTGACCATTGAATAATTCAATAAGTATAAAACTGTCATTTTGAAATTTATTCAAGATAAATAACAATATTCCTTTATGAAAAGATGATTTGAAATAAAATTTAATTGCTAATTCAGGATCTATTGAACGATTGAATAAGGATAGATAACAATTTGATCGCATAAATTGAACTGGATAATCGTATGTCATGATCGGCTTAGATTCCTTGCGATATTGTAATAATTGTGCTTCGAATTCTAGTATCCACTTATTGAGTGAATATTGAGGCAAAGTACCTGGACTACTATTGAAAGAGTGCTGATCTATTCCTCCATTATTATCATATGGTAGAAGCTCGATACCATTGTATAAGAAATATGCAATTTCTCCTGTATAACCTGTCACTTTGTTACTTTCTGGGCTATTCTTGTCTGATCCAATAATTATTTGTTGAATAGGTAACTGGGAAATTGTTGAGTTCGTTCCTTTTTAAAAAAACGGATAAATAAAAAGAAATGATTTAAAATGAATTTACTCTGTTCAGCTTTTAAGTAATGATATTTTGGAAGTGATAACTTTTAAAGCTGTTTAAATTTTGACTTATTTAGTTAGCATCTTTTCATATATTGTGTATAGAAAGTAAAAATATCTGCCATAATAAGGGTGTTCATGACATTCAGCCTTGATTTCTAGTAGCAAAAGGTCGGGACTAATCCTGACTCATTTATTATTTGCCTGTATTTCAGATCTCCCAGGGTTGTTTGGTAAACAGAGTGCCTACTTTCAACACAGCTGACCTTCTTTATATACACGTAGTCATTTGGATATTTGCGAGTGTCAGCCCATACTTTACAAGCTATCGATTTGTGCATATTTTCAGAGAGAAAATGGGTCATTGAATCGAATCGCTGAATAGTATACGAGCTTGCCTTATAACCGGAAGGTCCTGGGTTCGAACCCTATTGATGGGTGCGTACTGCCGATGATTTCCAAACTAGGATGAAACAGTTGTCCAGTATTCCCTGGTTTTCAATGGTTCTCTAAGTGATATCAACCCGTGGTCAAACTCTTAGGACTAATAAAATCCTTAGAAACCAAACTCTTGGAAAGAAAATGAAGTGTCAAATATTTTTGACACCAAGCGACAATACTAACAAGTACTTTGTGTTGATTACAATCCCAGGTTGTAACAGTATACACAAAAAAACATAGATGGTAAGATCACTAAATTTAGTAAAAGTAATCAAGTTCGAAATATATGTGCGATAGAATGTCTTTATGAGGATTTTGACTGTCAACATTATTCTGTTATTATTATTCCGCTGTTCTGTGAAATTCTCCTTATCTGTCTCCAAGATAGCCCGTAATCTCTCATTTCCTCCTCATACGATCTCCTCCGTGTTACCCTCGGACGTACGCCAAACGTTTCGTCTCCCTTTAGATTACGTGTCTACCGTGTAGTTATCAGTCAACGATCTCAGTGTATGTTCACTCCCTCTCTATATCCTTCTGCATATTTGTTGAAGTCATAGGTCAATACATTGACAGGGTTGATTGTTGCTAATCCATTCAAGCCAGCGTTTTGATCTACAGTATTGATGCAGCTAAGACAACTTCTGAAGACTGTTTAGGGGAGCTATTTTAAATGCTATTGGCGACTCATGCGCTAAGCCCTTGAATCATATAGAAGCACTCACCTGACATAAATGTTGACAATCATGCTTCTCACCCTTAATCAGTAGATTTTTACCCTGATTTCAGATTAAGGAGGGACTGATTTGCTTTTTTCGATCGGAGCTGTGATATCCTCACTCAGGTTGCCTATACTTGTGATGATACTGCTTAGTTAAGTGGAAGTGGTAACCTCCCTCAAATTTATTCTGTTGATAATGACTGGTTAGGCATCTTAATCACCTCTGTCTTCTCTGTGTTTATTTGAAGTCCTCTCTTTGCTTGGTTCCTCTTCTGCCTAATGTTAGTTTTCCTCTGTAAATATTCAGGTCCGCGATACATTATATATAAACCATCTGCGGAGTCCAGACCTTTAAGAGTTCTTCTGTCATTTCAAAATATTTGCATTTTATCACCACAACCAGGAATACTACTGATGATAGCAGACACCCTTGTCCTACTCCCATTTCCACTTCAAAAGCTTCACTTAACCTTCCATTGTGAATTACTTACCATGTGAGATCATCAAATAGCCGATGAATGCGGTTGACAAATGTTCATGGCACTGCACTCTGTAGGGTTGAACTAGTTTATGGTTTACTTGACTATCAATGATGCCGAGTGCATTTTCAGATTCAGTGGAGCTGAGTTGCACATTCAACTGCTAATCTATCCCGTTTCCGGTTGCGATGCATGGAGTTGCATTTCAGTTCACCTATGATTCGCCTTTCCTAAATCTAGCTTGTTCTCTCTTTTCGTAATGTATCGACGTCTCACACTTTAATGTGTATCATGCCACACTAATAAGACACAGACCAGTAGTCTGAATTCTTCCCCCGGGATCGAATTTATCTCTATTCACTATTTCCTGACAGTCGAACAAGAACAATGTTGCTTAAGGTCAAATAAAACTTTCATATATTGTGTCTCCAAATACTTCAGCTCCCAGACTTGTAACTTATCAATTATGTTCAAGCCTATTAAGCGCGCTAGCTTACTGAGTTATATATTCAATAGAGGTTATAATCCGTAGGATTCGTGTTTTGTTGTTGTTTGTTTTATTCCTTCACGTTCCCAGTGGAGCATAGGGCTTCAAGCTAGAGTCTTGGAGTTTCTGTAGCAGTGTTTATTTTGACAGGATGAGGTTGCTAGCCTCATGCCCAACCTTTCCTCTTCACCAGCTGTATTTCTGGCTTAACGAGGTAAAGGAGTGTGCCGGCTGAGGATCGAACCCCGGACCATATGCATGGTTGGCGAGCGTCCTAACCGCTATGCCACCGACGCGTGTAGCCCTGTATTATTTGAAATCGCATTTTATCCTTATATTTCCAAACAATAGTGGATAACAGATTGTATGTCAACAAGATGAATAGATTTCACAGCAGTTCATCATAAAAATATGCATGACGCATTGATCAGATGCTTTTTTTTCTAAAAATTTGACATTACCTGGTTATAATAAACAGTAATATGATAAAAATCTGTAAAATATTAACTAACATACTATGTTGATATTGGTGTTCATCCAGAGAAATTGATATATGTGAATCGTTGTGAATTAATTCATAGGAATGCCATTTTCCGTCAGATATATAGACAGGCAATTCAACTGCCTTAAGAAAAAAAGATAACAAGAAGGGATTAACTATTTGGAGATGTTTGTTGAAATGGTAGTAAAATAAAGCTAAGTGAATAAGACATTCTGACAGGCAGCGTAAGTTGTATAAGATTTTAAATAAAGATTTTAATGCTGTCACTCATATAAGAGACGAAAATAAAAATTATCACAGAGGAATAACTAAGTAAGGCTATCTGTACAAGGTGAGGAAACACTTCCACTGTGTATGACACCACCTTCAACCATCTGTAACAGGCTGGTTTTTGATAAAGTAAATACCCGTAGCCACAAACCGCACAGACGATTGGACAACAGTTGATTGACCTATAATTTAAAAGGCGTTCATGGTGTCATGGAGAGAAATTCGCCATCAGTAATGACATTTATGTCATGCATCTTCAATGCATCTACGGTACAGTTCAAATAATCGCAAGGAATGAGTCACTTTATCTCTAAATTTTGTTTGTTTCAGCAGTGGACATCCATAATAATTCTAATGATGATGCGAAAAAGCCGACAGTACACTAATAACACTTACTCTGTCTACGAATTCTCAAAATCCACTAAAGGGAGTCGTGTCATCTATATAGCAGTGAGGTTCAGAACATATGTGAGTTGTAAAAAGACAAAACATACTGTCTTAGAGTTTTTCCAAGCCCACCAAACAAGACAGTTGATTTTTCTACTCTACGTTTCAGACTGCTTCAACTTATTCATTGTGTTTTTGAATACCGATGAGAAAGATATTATATGTACTGCTTGCAGTGGCTAAATTCTTGAACATTTGTCATTACGGAAGCTAGAAGGTTTGCAATGAAAATCTTTAACAGACTTCTAGAACGACATATTATTCAAAAATAAAATTCTAAGCCAAGACGTTCTATCACAAATAAATGTCAATTACAGTACCACTGAAAAACACCATGTCGGTCAGTTAGGTCATTTTAGACTGTGGATCATTAGGAATCAAGAATCTTAGTCCTACACGAGTTTTGGACTAAATGTTGACGACTTTTGAGAATGCGCATCATAATCTATTTCATGAGACTCTGACCATGCATTAGTATTTTTAATTTCTGAGGCTGAATTTCGATAGTGTTATGTTATCAACATAAGAAACTAAGAATAATGAATTATAGTCTGTGACCAAATGAGTTAATTTGAATATGTCTTTGGGTGACTACTATAGAAATAAGTAACACCTGAACAAAATAGCTGGTTTTAGTTGTTTTATAAATGATATCCTCTTGTTGCAGTTTGCCTGAGAGACACGGTTATTTTTATTTCTAAAGCAGTTTAAATATGCTTTTTGATTACTTTGCAAGAACAGTAAGATGAAATCTGAATCTAAGTAAATTCACAAATACACTGAGTGAATAATGAGACACACTTACTGTGTTACTGTCGGTGGCACAGCGGTAGAATGCTCGCCACCTACTCAGGTGTTTCGGGGTTCGATTCCCGGCTGACTCACTCGTTTACCTCGCTAAGCTGGTAATAAGACAGATAAAAAGAGGAGGCTGAGAGTGAGGCTAGCCACCCCATCCCGTAATAATAAATACCATTGCTTTTGAAGCTTCAAGCCTCTAGCCTGAAGCTCTATATTCCAAGAGGGACGTAAAGGAATTTTTTAAAAATTACTGTGAACATGTTTTAGGCGTTTCAAGCAACTATATAAATAAAACGATACGTCAAACTAAAGCAAAGAAAAGATTTAAATTCTAAATGATACACATTTCCATCTAATTGACACTTTTCTTTATTCCGTCTCAACTTATGAGTTGATATATCTAGGGGGTATAACCGAATACTAAACGAAAGCTTAGCCTTAAGATGATCGAAACCAATAACTCTCATGTTCCTGAACTGATGTTACGCTGGTATAATTAAGAAAACATAATTTCAGCTTCAGGAACAATCACCAAACTGTTTTACAAAAGTGATATATGAAATCTTTTCCAACTTAAGATCAAGCTACACTAGTTTTTTAGAGTCAGAGGACGATTAACAATCTGTTAAAATCTGTGCGATTTCAAAAAATTTAAACATACCGCCTTATTTTTACCGATGAATAATTTCACATGAATATAACCATTCAGTAGGAAAATCTGATACCCTTGATAATTTGAAGTAGAATATTTGCTGTTATCACTATTAGCTAGTTTCTCTTCTCGCTGTTGCTGTTGTTGTAATTTTCGAAAATATAATTTCTGTGTATATTCCAAAGACGGTTTTCCTTCCACACTAGGATCAACTATATTCTTCATCATAGTTTCTACATATTGTGATTTAGCTACCGTATATAAGATGGTACCGTTCAAATGATTCGTTTTAAACATAAATTGAATCCATAACAAAGGCGAATATTGTTGAACAGGAAACTGTAGACGTATTAGTTGCAAGCCATTGAAATGTAGTATTGGTGTGCCTTGAATTTTGAGATTAATAATAATAGAATGTAAATAAGCAATTTAAAGAAACATATAAGGATGAAACAAACAATTTGGCTGCTAAACTTAAATTCTTTAGACAGTAACACTCTAAAATCAAGAAAATCGACATATCTGACAAGTAAAGCTAGTGAGTTAAATACTTTGACTAAAGTAATAAAAACTACAGGGTAGGCATTTAAAAAATACCAAGATTGTAAGTTGAATTTTATCTCAAAAGAGTGATTCATTTTCGATGAATGAGGATGATTTATTGAATGAAGACCAAGTATTTCCTATCACCATTGTGTTGGCTACTTAAAATGACTCCTCAGACGATGAACGCTCAACACTCGTCAAGAAATACAACCAACAACACGCACAAAACTGCCTGCCAGTATACACGAATCCTCTAACGAAACTAGAAATCCTGGATGTAATCAAGTCTCTGAAAGCCAAGAAGACAGAAGGATCAGATGGATTCCCCCCGAAGCACTGAAAACAGACCCAGAGACTGCAGCAGATGTGTCTACGTCATTATGGCAAAAGGCTTAGAAGGAAGAATAGGCACCTAATTATTGGAAAAAGGCTACTATATCAAAACACCAAAGAAGGGTGACATACGCCTTTGCAAGAATTTGTGTGGAATCATGATGCTGTCCACACCAAGTAAAATACTAAGTCACGTCATCCTGGAGAGAATAAAAGATGAACTGAATGCAGAACTATTCTCTCCAGGACGAGCTGGATTCAGAAAGGGCAAATCATGTGCTGATGAAATTGCAAGTCTACGCATCATCATCGCTATTGAACAAAGCATAGAATGGCCATCAAACCTCCACCTTAATTTCATCGACTTCGAAAAGATTTCGACAGACAGCGTTGACTGAGAAGTAATTTGGAAACTACTTCAACACTACGATGTGCAGTGCTCAAGTCTTTACCAACCTCATGCAGCAGCTGGCTATATGAAAATGCCAATTGTCAGGTGATCCACAGCGGGAAGCTCAGCGAGGCGTTCGACGTGAAGATAGTAGTAAGACAAGGCTGGCTGCCTATTATCACCTATGATATTATTATTATGGTAGACTAGATTATGCGTCAGACTGTGTACTGAGAGCGAAAAGATAGGAATACGTTTGACCTACAAAAATACTCTAAAAGATCTGGATTTTGCGCTTGAATGATTGATGTTTAATGTCACACAAACTCGAAGAATTGCAAGCAAAAAGCAACAAACAGGCGGCGAAGACAGGACTCAAAGTGAACATAGAGAAGATGGAGGTGATAGAGATAACCAACCAACAGCAACAGCAGTAACAACAACCAGCACCAATCACCATCAAAAGGAAAGATTTGTCAGAGGTTACTTCCTTCACTTATCCGGCTAGGAAGCACCGTTTCAACCACAGACAGCCAGGACAGATGAAGATGTCAAAGTCAGAATCGGGAAGGCAAGATACACCTTCATCAAGCTGAAACCATTTTGAAAATATTCTGCACTGCACTCAGCCAGAATAAAGAACAATATTCGGATTTTCAGCACCAATGTGTGGTTGGTCAGTTCTTTTATACGAGTCAGAAACCTGCATTGCGTGTCGCGATCAACATTTCCAAAAAGTAACAGACTTGTATCAATAGCTGCTTTCGCTGGCTCCATACTGATGGTCAGATGGCCAGCCGGCGGGTAAGAAATAATAGCAAGAAACATTGGCTGAAAACAAACCAACCAAGAGCCGATTGCTCAACAAATATAAGGGTGGAAATGGAGATGGACCGGGCACATGTTGAGAAGGCTGTTGAACGACATCGCGTGCAATACAGGCCATCGCTTGAGTGGAATCCCAGTGGGATGCGATTAGTAGGTCATCGGTGTGAGGTTGACATGAAGAAGATCGTTTGGAGTAATCGTGGGGCCATCTGAAGAGGATAGCAGGCAATAGGACAACGCTGAGATGTGTTGTTGAAGCCCTGTATTTGACTCGGAATCCAAGGGAATAATAAAAAAATTTTTTCTACGTTAATTGTCTTGTCCTTAAACTGTTCTCTTGACTGCATAGCTGTCTATCCTTTCCGTTCAGTTAGTTTAGAGTTTTTAGTGTTTCAAGTATTGAATAGAACCACACATTGAATCCAACCACCAACAATCGTCTTTTTGCCGTATTTGGAGTATTTCTGACTGTGTTCCTCTCCAGTAAGTAATCACAGTAATCACAGACGAAACCTTCCCAAGAAATCAGGACGAAGCGATCTGTTTAAACAACCTTTGAAAAGTTAATACACAACTACAATTAATGTTGTTGATCGGTATTTTCAGGTGAAAACCCCCTCATATAAATCAGTAGTGCTCACTGAACACATAGAAGGGATTTAAATGTCAGATGATGGCTAAGTTAAATCGGGACAGTTGTCACCTACATGATGACCGCTTTCACTCGGCTGTTTGCAAACTGCAAAGTTCGAGGCAAAAATTCAAAATGTTTTCCTCTCGAAACCAAAAATATTCAGAATACAGTATGTTTTCCTTTAATGATTTAAGATAGCTCGAATATAGTTTGAAAAAAGAATATGTGTATCTGTTACTAGTTGCAGGCAAACGTAAGCGGATGCTTACAAATGCTCTGAAATTTACTGGACATACTGGAAACTGAGTGGATGTTATCGGGTCTGACTTCTCTGCATCCTTCACTGCAATGGTCATGTATTTCTTCTTATCAATCGCACACATACCTCAGAAATATATTGCGGTCATTTTTCAATTTTATGGTTAATTAAAACTCCTCAATGAGTCATATAAAAGACGTTCAGCACAGAGTAACTCTTATTGGTAAGATCGTTCTCAAGCTGAACGTCATTTCTTTTATATGAATTTATAGTTAGTCAGCTATTGGTCCACAAACAAAGCTATTCATTTGTGAAGAATGTTTATAGACTTGTAAATATCTTAGATGAATAAAATTTACACATAAACATTTTTAAAACTGGCAACGGCAGAGGTTATCCGGCATACTAGTTAGTGAAAGATGATCACTCATTACATTTTGGTAGACGACTGACTAATAAATACTCATCAGTGATATTGGCTGGCGGTGGCGCTATATGCCACGAACCTGAGGGAGTTAGAATTCATGGTCCACTGCATTCTGTCTTAGTGGCTGTGTGGTCAACAGGTTTGTCTCTTAACCGGGAGGTTCATGATTCAATTCCTGCTGAGGGTCATAGGAGCGCACTGTCGAAGGGCCCAAAACGAGGATAAAATATCTATCCAATGCAACATAGTTTCCAGAAGTTCTCTAATTCATGTCAACTCATGGTCTAAACTGAAATCAATCAAATCCCGGCAGACCAAAGGCTGGAAGTCATATAAACCATTTGGTTACTATTGCCTTTGAACCTCTGCTTTCATTTCTTAGTTTTTCGAGAGAAAAAATGGTTCCTTCACCACTGAAATGTTTCAGTGCATAACTAAATCCTGAATAGACTTTACTGTTAGTATAACCTGTAGTATTAGCCTACATGACTTATAATCCCTCTTCATTTTATTCATTAACACTAACACAAAATTTAATATGTAGACTGGAGACAGATGAAATGCTAACTTTTATATGTTAAGGATGATTAAAGTTCCATTCTTTTCGATGCTGTTTTATTTTATCCCTCCCGTTTCGGTAGCATCATACCAGTATTATTTATTTTTTGACTGTACTTAGTCATGTCAAGTGGCTTTGACATTTGACATCCTAAATATGATTATATATCCTAATTCGGGATTCATCGGCAATACGCACCCATTAGGTTTTGAACCCAGGACCTTCCGGTTACAAGGCAAATTCGCAGACCATTCAGTTACTAGGACCTAACTCAACGGCCCATGTATTCTAACTTCTACTAATTCGTGATTTCTAGCGCGACCACTAACCAGTTTAATCGGCGGGGACTCCAACAGTGTTTCTCTAACTGATACTAATCATTGGTCAAACTCGGAAAACAAATCAAAACCTTACAAATCAACTCTTGAAAATAAATAAACATGCTCCTTAGCATTTAAAATAATGAATGCTATCAAAAAACTAAATAGCTTTCAACACCAAAATAATCCATGTAACTAATAGGGTGTTCTGGAATTACGCTATTTAATTGTTTTCAGGTTCATACATCTCCAGAAAACAACTGATGGAGTTGTACAATTAATTGTGAAAATGTATCGGAAACTTTTTTTGGGGGGGGGGGGTAAATCTGAAAGGAGCAACCTCCTTCACCTACCTACATGGGAAGCATCGCTTCAACTACAGGCAGATGGAGCTGACGAGGATATCAAAGTGAGGATCGGGAAAGCAAGGCAAGCTTTCATTACGCTCAAGTCTGTGTGAAGACCAACAGCACTCAGCATGAAAAATTAGATCCGAAATTTCAACTGCAATTTGTAGTCATTGCTACTTACTATACGGATCATAGACCTGGTGCTTCATGAAGAGCACTCCAAAAAAACTGGAGAACTTTATCAACAGCTGTCGTTGCTCACTACTCAAGATCAGATGGCTGGCCAGAAATGATCAGCAACGGGGATTTCTGGCAATGAGCGAACCAACCCAGTAGGAACCAATTGTGCAGCAAATATGCAGAAGGAAATGGAGGTGGATTGGCCATACTCTGAGATACAAACCATCAAGTGACATCACACTCCAGGTCATCGCTCGAGTGGAACTCAAATGGGAATTGGCGAGTTGATCATCAGTGCGAGAGTGGGGTGACATGGAGGAGGTCATGTGAAGAGGAGATGAAAGCATGTGGGCAGATTTGGAGTCAGGTGAAAACGTTGGCAGAGAACCGGACGTAATGGAGACGTACGGCTGAAGCCATATTTTCTCTAGGAATTAAAGGAAACAGTAATAATAATTATTATTGGAAACATTCGATAGTAGGCGACTGGTTTGACATTTAATTTGTTTTTACAAAATTCGAATAATTATGGTTAATAAATATGCCATGACATAAAATACAGTTTAGGAGATATATGCATTTGTATTAAGATGGGATCATCTTTTTAAATCTAATGCAATATGGGAAATTTCTGTTCATACCACAAGAAACAAAACAGTGAATCAAGTAGGCTCATTCTTCCGTCTTTCTGAAGAAAACGTGAATAAATAGTTTCACAAGGCAACTTAAAAATATCTTATATATATATATATATATATATATACAAACCAGATATATTAAACTAACCATTTTGGAAGTCAAACGCTTCAAAATCATGTGAATGACAACGACACAAGTTCGGTGGTTTCCATTTCCATTGCAGACGTTTTTCTATTGGGCATGACATTCTATTTACTGTTTCTGAAAGGCAATTATTTGGCAGTTCCTGAGAAGGAGAGTCATTCTCACAGTTTGACTTCGAAATAGTAACCGGAAATGTCCGCTGCTTCTTTTGAGCAGAACTTTGTAAATACCTATTGCGTGCTTTGACGGCTGACTGCAAATCCAAAACTAAACCATTCACAGCTAACCTTTGATAAATAAAGTAGTAAAAATGTATTCAGTACATGCAAAATCTATTAACACATATAAAATAATTAAAAAAAGTATGATTTACGAGATAGCCTCACTGAGGTACACACACATTCAAATCCATGAGAGTCTTTAAACGCATAATTAAAAGTGATTGTGACATCGAAGATTCGTAGAAAAGTCTCATCAAGATGTATAGAAAATTAAAAGAGGTGATTCAATTAAGAGTTTCTTTCCAGGGCATTCATTATCAAGCTGTACAGTCGTATGTATATGATTCTTTGTTAACAAAAATTAAATTATAGAGCAGTAGCTGAATCTCCAGAGAAAATGAATTCCTTTGACGTTTTATAAACAAAAAATACGGTTAAAACCTACTAAATTTGATTTGACTTCTGTAACCAAAAAAAATGCTGTATATGAGCCTTGAATTCTAAGGTGAATGGGATGCCACCATCTTTACAGGAAGGATCTCACAGTCGGCCGTTCGACTTGGATTTTGCCCATGACGGTGCAAAAAATTATCTCATGTGACTACACAAAAAGGCGAATGTGAGGCTATAAGATTGAAATAATTGAACATCCGTTCAATACTGGCCCCCGTATTTCCATAGCCTCTTCTTTTAGAGTTATCTAAAGGGCAAAAATGACTTGCCCAAATCATTACTTTTCTGGCTCTCCAAAGCCAAATGTTTGTGTATAGAAAACGTGTGTTCAACCCCTACAACGCTCATAGCCTAAAGCCGTTTATACTAAAGCATGATAATCACCATTTAAACTGTCGACCTCCTTATTTTTCGTTTCGTTGATTTCATTGGTATATCCTTTCCTCATTATATTGACTGTCATTATTAAAATCACTTTGGACAGTCTCATCTGTTATCTCACTTGTCATCTTTATTTATTCATTTAGCGATGATTTCTACTATGTTGTTTGATCATAGCTGTAACGTTTTTGCGGCATGTTTCAATCGCTTACTAACCTTGCTGCGACACACCTTAGAAATTTCTACATTTCAAGAACTATTTTATAAAGTACATGACCAATTATCTCTTGTCCTAATCTACATTTTTATTCCAGAATTCACATATATATACGATTGTACAGCTTGATGACAAATTCGTTTAAAGGAGATTCTCCGCTGAATAATATCACAGACCGTACTCATTTCCACTCACGTTACTCTATATATAGGAAAATTTTAAAGATCATTTATGTTTAAATTGTTAAACAGCTTAGGTTTGTTGGACGTTTGAAATGGGGTGTATTTCTTCCAAGTAACCGTACTTTTTTCGAGTTATAGCTTGGTAACGTGACTGATACAAACACTAAGAACCACACACGTGATACTGATTACATCCTTAGTACCAACAAGGGTTAAATGGTAAGTCTGAATAACTGTATGGTAACGTCTCCGACTTTAGCATGAGTTGACATGGTCTTAGATCTTCTAGGTGGCATCACTTCTTTCGATGCTGCAAATGCGCCTTTTCGACTGGCACCAATAACCACGAAACCTGTCTGCATTGATTGCTTCATGTTGACTGAGTCCAACCACTTGATACTAGCTGTACTTTTTTGAGTTACAGCCTGTCAATCACATTTTAACATTTGAACTGACCAAGTTGTGCTAAGAGCGCAAAATTATAACATAAAAATAAAGCGTTCAGCAATAAATTTATCCAAACTAAATAACCTACCTGAAAATACAACCTTGAAAGTGTTGACGAATTCCATTGATATTCAGAAGACCTGGAATATATACTCCAGTTTCAATTGATTTAGTATAATTTATTCCGCCTAGGTACAATGTCCTACCAAACCACAATGTATTCTGCCAAACTGTATTATATAAACTGTTTAACGTGTAAAAATTTCGTTCTAAATTCAATTCCTGCTCAAGTGTTATTACACCTAACCTCTTCTGACTGTTTGGACCGATAACAATCCATTCTTGTGCTGAATCATAACGTACTTTTACTAAAGGCCAAATTATCTTCCTCGTATCATTTTCACTTGGTAGCCAGATAAAAGTATATTTTATTTCCAGAGTATGCATACTATTCATTGATAAAGTTCGAGGTGAATTCATTTCAACTTCAAACCATATTGTTTTACTTTTTTGAATAATAATATGCAGTGTTGAATTACGAAACTCCGCACCGATTAAAGAGCTTCCATCAAGTTCATGATACTGATATTCATAGTCTTTAAATATTTGCTCTCCATATCGATCATTGTTTACAGATTTGAAATGTTTCACTCTGTTATCTGTATCATCTCTTAATAAAAACAGAAGACCATTTGCATTTTGTTCTTTATTGAGAAGCTTAAAATCTATCTCTAAATCAATCCATCTCAATTTAGTCTGCGTCTTAGTAATACTTCTATTTGTTTGTTGCATACAATCGAAAGAACTTTGAAGCATATTTGTTACTGTTATAGTTGGCAACTTTAAGCTTATGTATGCATTTTCAGTATCCGCATCTGAGTTAAAACTGACAGGTGATGCATTGAGATTATTTGTCAACTTTAATAAATCACAAATAGTTATGAACTGAACTGCTTCCATTGCATTATCATGTATTTTGTCTGCTGTCTGATGAATAGATGCATTGGACTTAGTCACTGGATAAATACGGAATCCATGTAGGCCTGATACAGTAAATTTCAATATGTTCATGTCAAGTGCATCGGCTTGAAATATGGCCTATAATGTTTAGAGAAATACATTGTTATTGAGGAGTATTGCTTAAGATTGAAGTTAAAACATGGCTCTAAAACAATTTCCTTTACTATATTTATGTGGACGTATTTTAACAACTAGCACCAATCATCATCAAAAGGAAAGATTTATCAGAGGTGCTTCCTTCACTTATCCGGTTGGGAAGAATCGTTTCAACCACACACAGGCACAATGGATGAAGATGTCAAAGCCAGCCAGTCTAAACTGGAAGGGCAAGATACACCTTCATCAATCTGGAAACAGTTTGGAAATATTCTGCACTGCACTCAGCCAGCATAAAGAAGAAGATTCGGATTTTCCACACCAATATCAAGTCGATCAGTTCTTCTATACGTGTCATGAAAATCCGAATAAATCTGATGAAGAAGCTGTGGCTTATACAGCGAAACGTTCAGAAAAATCTTGTTTTGATTTTCTTAACACGCTGGGATTAATTTAAATAATTTATAATGGATTATGAAAAGCTGTTTAATCTTATTTGGAGATCTTACAATTTTTAAACTATAAAACTTCCAAAGAAAGGTTGAGATGAAAACTTAAAGTTGTTTACTTCAAGGAGATACTTTTCTTAATTAAAGGCAGAGAACCAGGTAGAGAATCTCATGGTGAGTAGGCAGTCACGTAATTTACGCTCACTAGCTTTGGCATTCATTTTCTGACTTTTGTAATTAAAACGTTTAACCAGTTAGACGCGGTAAATTAAATGTGAGGACAGTAAAACATCCATAAAAGCGGCCTTCCTATCAGATATCAGATTTCAGACAATCGATTAAATAAATAAAAATACCCACGAGAATATTTGATATTTTACAGGTCATTTTAATGGTGGGAAAGAAATGAAAGGAATTCAGAAAAATATTCAGGTTAATTGATGGCTTTATTATAAAAACCAAGATTTTTGCCAACAAATGGTCTAATAATGTGAATGAGTTGATGTTCTGCGGTATGAATACAATAACGATTGCCGACTAAATGCAGAAAGCTAACAATGAAAACTGTAATTATAGAGAGGCATAAAAGGTTCACTTCAATGGTGGTAATTAAACTTCATTCAAAGCCAAAATAATTTTTTTTAAAACCCGGAGAGCTGCAGTATGCTGGAAAGTACTACTAAAGTGTATTTATAGCCTCCGTTTATAGACACAAAGTGGTTTGTTCCTCTGAAATGGCAGGCTCTTTGTACCTCAATATTTTCTAGTAATACTGAATACATTGACATAATCATAAATTTCCGGATAATTCAGAATTTGTGAAATTGAACTTATGACAGGTTTTACTGTCGTACACTTGGACCATTTTATAATCATTTAATCATGCAAATAAAATTTCTTCCTAAGTATTTCCCCTTCATTTATCCTCTGGAATAAACACAGAGTGATATACACAAAGAGTTTTATAGGAGATGGATGCCGTTTATTCTTCTGATATTTACACAGCTGGTTGTCTGCTATTAGTAAAGTTGTGTTCTCTGAGCTTAAGCATTGGCAGTATCTCCTGATCATCAGATAGCTAGTACTCTCATTGGGGAATTGTAAATTGTAAAAGTCAGCGCTGATTGTGCTATCTAGGAAGACAATAAAGGCTTTGAGATTAAACCAGCCACTGTAGAGAATACAACTACACCAATATCACCTCATGGACCAATAAATCTGTTCAGCCACCTCTGAACGGTGTGGTGCTCGCAAGGAGAACCTTCATGTCTACATAACTATCCAGTCTACACATGATCACCTATTTGAAACAGTAAAATAACATTATTATGTTCATTAGTTCGCTTTGACATCTGTTTTTTAACTTATATGTTTGTAGAACATTTAGTGAGGATTCTTTAGGTACACACATTCCAATACAAGATATTCTCTAAAGGCTTTCATTAGTGGCCGGTGAGTTCATATATCTTTAGTTACATTAAATCACACACTTTCTACAAGTTTCTCTTCTGAATACGAACTAAGTGTACAAACTCTACGGTTCTACGGATACTTCCTGAATTAAGGAAGCCTACAAAATCAAGCTATATCGTGAATTGGCAGAAGTTAGAATTCATGGACCATTGGATCGGGTCCCGGTGGCTTAATGGTATACGAGCTCGCCTTGTAACCAGAAGGTCCTGGGTTCGAATCCCGGTGGGTGCGTACTGATGGAGAGTCCCAAAGACCTAGGAAGAAACAGCTGTCCAGTACTCCCAGGTTTTCCAATGGTCCTCTAACCAATGTCAACTCATGATGAAATCCTGTAACCAATCAATCAAATCCCTACAAACCAACACTTGAAAACCAATTTAACTGTTTTATTCCATAGACACCTGTACATATGACGGAATCATTTTCCTTTTATTGTGTCAGTAAGTTATGACTGCATTTTGTCATTAATATTCTTATTTATCTCCCCTTGAAATTACATTCAGCAAACCATATTATTTGTTCATATTTTTGTAGTACTCATATATCCTCTCACATCACGGAATATACGCTATCCCCTGAAACATATTTTTGTTAATTGTAAACACAAAAGCACGTTACTTAAATGTTTGTTCATGTGTTATCTTATATTCATAACAACTTAACATTTTGTATGCGTTCAAGTGACCATCAGAATCAGAGAATTAATATTCTATCTAATACTTGTACCTCAGTACAGTTTCTTCCACAATTCTGACTATTACATTCTAACATTCATATATTTTTATAACTGCTGACCATGAAGAAGAATTGTTCACTCAAATTATTCTTATTGTGTTAATTTTTTTGACAGTATGACTCAAGTTTTAAGCGATTGTATAACTAACATTCTGACCGATTGAAATAAGGTTCTGAAAAAAACCCAGTGAATTGATTAGAAGACAGCTGAGAAATGAATTGAAAAATTCAATAATTGATTATGCAACACACTTTTATGCTGTAGGTACCTAAACTTCATGGTAGGTCGTCAATTTGAGAGGATGAACAAGTTTAGAATTAATGCGAGTTGTCATTTTTGTAATTTTATTCTCATTAAAATGCAGGAAATAATCAAACATTTACTTCATGTCATCAGAATGAATTACTTGATAAAATCCATTGAAACAAAACGTATGCCTTACAGTTAAGCTGCAAAGACGAATGCCAATGCAAGAATAGTTTTTCATGGATAATAAACAGTTATAAGTTATGGAAAGACAATTAATCCAGTATAGCGTTTAGGATAAGATACCGCTTTTGGCCACCTCAAAGTGTATTTATCAGTTTGCTAGCTCATGTGGAGCAAAGTATATCGGCCGTCAAGTCCACAAGCGTATTCTGGAATATTTTCCAGCTTCTTTTGCTAGAAAAGAATAATAATAGCAGCTGCATCCTCGAACACCTTGTAAACTCACGACATCAAGCACTCCCGCATGAGTGCTTCACAGTGTTACACAGAGTTCCTCAATATCGTTCAAAAGCACTTCGAATACACCATCTGTATATGGCTGAATCGTTGGCTGTTAGGGATCTGCAAATGGACCTCTGTATTCAAAAGCACTACATACATTCACTTGCCCTACCGTGGTCAGAGTAACATTCTTACTATAATTTTGCTTCTTTTTATTTAGTTTATTATTATTATTCTCATCAACCACATTATGTTATCACTCTATTGCTGCTTATTAATAACACCCCGTTTTCATAAAGATTTCATGAAAACACTTTATCGTTGGCTTTCTACTAGTTCCTGTCCATTCTGTACAATCATACTGATTAGTCATTTTCTCACATTTATTACCGATTGGCAACTTCCGCCTTTTTTCTCACTTCCAGTTAGTTACCCCTTCTGGGTTATACCTTGCGTTACGCAATATGTTTTTCAATGACCATTTTTACCAGTACCTGATTTGTCTTATGTATTCTTTATTAAATAAATGAATCGTTGAACAGAAAATTTTCTTCACTGTTCATGTTTTTTTCTTACTGCATCATTATTTTCAGCAGGATAAGCTTCTTTATTAGTCGCGAAGTCGTGGTTTGTGCACATACTGACATGATAACCCTACCAGACAATTTGGTTCATTAGTCAGTTCATGGCTTAGTTTTCTGAGGTTTCACAAATGTAATATATATAATGTTTTTTGTTGCTGTAGTCGTTGCTGCCATTCTGGTCATCGTTTATCCCAATCTGTTTTTTGAGACTATCTGAGAGTTGGAGATATTTTAAAGTGCTCAGATTGTTATAGTATTGTGTTCTGAAAACGAATTGTGGTCAGGTGAGACGATTTCACAATTTAATATGTATTGCTCCGTCACATCATATTGAATATTCTTAACACTGTACAACAACTGATCAACCAACTAATCACCTCTATAAGTAGTCTTTGTGATATATATAACTTAGAAAAAGCAATAAACTATACTACCCATAGAAATCATATTAGCATATCAGCAGATATATTTATGTCCAACCTTGAAAGAACAAAGTTGAAGCATGCAATCGACGAAACAACTTCCTACCGTCGATATGTTGATGACACTTATAGTGTGCAACAATGAAAGTCACGCTTCATAATTACTCAGATTATTTAGTGATGCACCCACCAATATTGAGTTTACTATGGAACATGAAAGTGACGGAAAGTTCCATTTTCTCGACACTGTCATGGAACGCCTAGAAGACGGTAGTCTTCAGAAGTCAATTTATCGAAACCCTACTTGGAAAGAAAAATACTTGCATTTTAATAGTTTTTGTCCAAATAGCTTTTAACGCGAACTAGTCAAGACTCTGTACTATAGAGGGCAGAGAATATGCTCTATAGAGAAATTAGAGGAAGAATTCGAGTTTCTTGAAAAGACATTGAAGAGAAATGGGTACCCTCAAAGGTTCATCAACAAGAATGAAAGATCTGAAGTCACAAATATAAGACAAATTACAGTGGGTAAAAAGCTAATCGAGCCCTCGAGTGGAACCCTAAAGGGAATCAGCGAGTTGGTCGTCCAAGGGTGACTTGGAGGAGGTCATGTGAAGAGGAGATGAAAACGTGTGAGCAGACTTGGAGTCAGATGAAGACTCTAGCAGAGAACCGAACGCAGTGGAGACGCGCGGCCGAAGCTCTATGTTCCTCTAGGAATTAAAGGAAATAATAATAAAAAGCCAATCTACATTCAGCTTGGTTATAAAGGTGAAAACATTGCAGCAATGATCAACAGAAGGCTGAGTACATCACTATCCAGAGCGTATCCTGCAGCTAAGTTCGTCCCCATCTATTGAACAACTTGCAATCGAAAATTAATAGATATCCTTCTCATGTTTAACAATGCCTCTGGTCTGTGAGCAGCTGATGAGAAGGCAACGAAATAAAAGATGGTACTAATTTATTCTGCAAAAACAGTAGTTCTCGCTTTGTTCAAATTCATTAAGGGGAATAAATGTATGAAATCATATTAATAGAGGTTATAGAGCATTTAATTTAAAACTCACTTTTGACATGATACCAATAAAATTAGTGTCTGATCCCGCGTTAATTGAATTCACTTGAAATATGTCACCCAATTTATATGATCCGCCTAAAACTAGAACTTGTGTATGAAGTAGGTAGGCATATTGATCGAGAGAGCTAATTAAACGCGTGAATACCAAATCATTGTCGATATACACTTGAAGCTAAAAAGTACAAAAAAGAAATTACAACCAGATCTTTTATAAAAGGCAGACAGATTTTCTCCTTTAGAATGCTTCTGAATCTTCGAAAAAGAACATCAGTAAAAGTATCAAAATATACATGAAAGCTAGAGAATGTGCTGATAAATAAAAATTGAAATAAAACGTTCTGAATCATTAATATTGACCGGATAAACATGTCACAATCGCGCCATTTTTAATGTCTAATATATAAACGTATATATATAAGCCGCCTGTAATAGTGTTATATCTAGAAATGAAAAGAGAAGTGAAATAAGCGCATTTTTAGACTTCATAATCCCCCACCCAAAACGACTGCAACATAGTATTCCTAGTAAGACTGTTTTACGAATTACGGCTGGGACCAAAGAAAGCCACTTAGTTTGTAACAACAGAAGTCAAGGGCCAGGCAACAGATCGTTTATTAAGGAAAATCAACACATATTTATAGATTTCAATGTACATTATTGTAGATTATTGTTAGTAGAAAATACAGTCTTTTGATTGGTTGTTTCTCACAGAAAGTTAACCTTGCATCTCTTTGTGGCTGTGTCAGATCATCCATATGCTAAATGTATCCGCCTACGCACAGCCTTTGTTCTCATTTTCTCACCACCAATATTGGGGACATAAACATTGACGTCAATTACTGTCTACCAACTTTGGCTAGCAGCCAGCTCTCACCAAAAGTTTGCAGTTTGTAACTTAGTGAAATGGGTGTTAAAATCAACTGTCAACAGATAATATGTATTTCTTATTTTGATTGGACACTAGTAACTATTGCGATGTGTCTAGTCATTTCTTCAGTGCAGGCTGAATTCTATCAGTCAGGTTTGCGATAAGGCCACCATTCAAGGCTGCAAATACGCCTTGCTGACGAGTGCCAACTAGCACGAAACCTAGGTCCAAGGCTACCTGACGATTGCCACCAACCATCTAATATCATGTATTTCTTATACTATGGCATCGTATCGACTGCAGAGTAATTTTAAAGACATATGAGGTTGATTTTTAGTTATTCAACAGTAGACTCTGACTTCGAATTCCCTTCACTATAGTTAAATACATGCTGGTTTTTGTGAAATTGATTATCTAGGCTGGTCAAAATGTGCTCATTAAAAATACTGCTGCCTAGCTGCTGAGTGAGAAAGAAAATTTCGTGAACTTTATTGTAGTAATTCGGGATTGCCTTGAGTCAAATGTGCACACTACCGTCTTGCTTAGAAACATCAGTTGCTTCAAATATACAATCGATAACCACGTAGCTTCCGGTGGTCGCAAGGGATTTGTGAGTCGGTAGTTCAGTGGTAAAATATTCGCCAACCACATGTGTAGTCCGGAGTTCAGCCCCCAGCCAACACACTTCTTTACCTCTATCCTCTGGTATTGAACCTATTAAGGAAAGGAAGGTTGAAATAGGGTCCGATAACCCCACACCATAAAAACTGAACACCACTTTTACTATAATTCCAAGACCTAAAGTTTGAAACCTTATGTTTGACTGGGAAGGTATAGGAATAAAAACAAACTAGGCATCTAATCATTTTTCTACCTATCCAAAGACACATAAGTGAACAACAAAAGTAATATAAATGTGATATATATGAATATTATTTTTTATAAGTAAAATATCTCTGAAAAATTCAGTATTTACCATAGAATTCGACCTCTCCAGTATTACATAATGCCATTGATTATCATCCAATCTTGATGCTGGATCTAAGTGTGATTGAATGACAACGTCTAGCTGAAATAAACTTGAAAGTTTGCTCTTTTGCTTAACATAAGACAGTACACCTTCCTGACTTTCTCCTAGCGAATTCATTGGAAGACCCATTTCACTTATTGGTAAGTGTAGAAATACCCTGAGCAATCCATTAATAATGTCCAATCGAAGTAATTCAGTTTCACTACCTAAAAAAGGTAGGGTAAAATAATTTTGAATATGCTGTTTAGTGTGACCAGTTCATATCCAGACAAGTATATATCAAGAAACGCTAGGCTAGTAGTTGCACTCCAAAGAGAAATAAAACAAAATAGTTATGATAATACCTAAAAAAGCTAATCAAGCAAAAAAAGTAAAAGAGAAATGGACATAATTATATCAACTGTTTTTCAGGTTAATTTGTATTTCCTGTTTATGATATTGGAGTGAAATACATGGCCTCTGTCGAACTTGTGGCTTCTAGTACGGACTCCTCAATGATGTCTGAGGATCACCGTGGAGTTATTTTGTTGGATTTTGGCTGGCAGTTGAATCCAGGATGCAGATTTCGTCATCTGGATTTACCAGCTTTATTAGTTAGTGATAATATTCCCACTAAGACTATTGTAGCCTACAAACCTTATGGACCATGATTTGGCGTTTGAAACGACTGGTTTTGGCTTCAAGTCTCAGTTTAGTATCATATCTCATCACGGAGGTAGCCCTATTCAATTAGTGAGTCCCAAATAGGATGAAATGTGCATGGAAGATTCCACTGCTAGTCACCATCCGAAATAACATGATCATATGCAGAACCGACTGAGAGCTGATGTTGGAGATACCCCTTATCCTTCCTATTTGTCTTTCCGGATTTTTGCAAAAACTCGCTAAGGGTTGGTTCCATCACCTACTTCAAATTCTTAGCTCCCTATTCTAGCCTAACAGTTTTATTGGCTTATTGTAATTATCTAACGAATAATATGAAGACATTCTATTCAAATTAATTTAATCCAGGAACTAAATAATAGTAAAATTTTGTTTGATTCAATTACTAACTGAATGCAAACTGTATAATGTACAAAGATATACAAATTACACAAGATTCTCCCACATTTACACACTGTACAATAAATTCCCATTTTTTTCAACAACCGACTGTGTCCACGTCTTCTTATCACATATGCGATTGAAGACTACCTAATTAAGATTGAAATTGTATTCTCTGAACAGAAAAAAATGTATTTAGAATGAGAGAAATATATTCCCTATTGGGAAGAAAAATAATCCAGACCTCAAGAGAATTTCTCTGACTGTACCTAATGTATTTTTTCTCTTTTTACTATTCCTTAAATTTTTTTGCCGTTGTTAGACTATTCTGTATGCTGCATATTGTAATGTCACAGTTGTACTAAGCTAGAATTAAGATGAAAAATAACTGCAAAAAAACGTCAATGACCTAGAGATTTCAGCTGGCATACACTGTTTAGTTGAAGTCTTCAAGACAGTTGCTTAAAAAGTGTTTGAAAACCCTTGAAACTAGTAACAAGGAATTAATCTGATATAATCAGCCATTTTTTTTACTATTATTATTATTCCCTCGCATTCCGAATCGAACATAGGGCTTCAACAAGACATCTTTACTCTGTTCTGTTTTCTGCCGTCCTCTTCAGCTGGGTCCACGACTGACCAAACTCTTTTATCTCTTCCTTACACGATCTCCTCCATGTCCACCTCACACCGATGACCCACTCGTCGCCTCACACTGGGATTCCACTCGAACGCTGGCCTGTATTGCACGTTATGTCTTTCGACGGCCTCCTCAACGTGTGCCTGATCCATCTCCATTTTCGCCTACGTATTAGTTGAGCAATCGGTTCTTGGTTGGTTTGCTCTCAGTCAGAGTTTCGTTGTGCTAATCCTTTCTGGCCTGCCATTTTTGGTTTTTAGTATGAAACCAGCAAAAGCAGGTGTTAATACAATTCTTTAACCTGTTGAGAATGCTTTTCGTGACTCGTATGGAAGAACTGACGAACTTGACATTGGTGTTGAAAATCCGAATCTTATTCTTTATGCTGACTGAGTGCAGAGGATTTCAAAGCTGATTTCAGGTTGATGAAGGTGTATCTTGCATTTCCGATTCTGACTTTGACTTCTTCATCCATTCCGCTCGTAGTTGAAACGATGCTTCCCAGATAAGTGAAGGAGGCAACCTCTGTTAAATCTCCCCCACTGATGGTGATTGTTACTGGCTGTTGTTTCTGTTGATTGGTTATTTTCATCCACTCAGTTTTTTCTATATTCACCTACAGTCCTGTCTTCACTGTCTACCTATTCAGCCAGTTTGTTGGTTTTCACTTGCAAGTCTTCATGTTTATGTGACATCAGACATATATCATCCAGGGGAGAAATCTAGATCTTCTAGAGCCTTCTCATCTATCCCACGTACTCCTGTCTTCTCGCTTCAAGTACACAGTATGACGCATAGTCCATTATAATTAAGAATATAATCGGTGATAATAGGCAAGCAGCCTTGTGTTACTACTATCTTCACGTCGAACGCCTCGGTGAGCTTCCCGTTGTGGATCACTTGACAATTGGCATTGTCATATAGCCAGCTGTTGAATGAAGTTGATAAAGACTTCGGCACTGTACACCGTAGTGTTATGGAGCAATAAAAACTATTGGAAACTTGAAAGTAAAACACAAATGTAACTGTTGATCATTTCTGTGGGTTTTATTTTTGTTTAAGACCTTTGTAAAGGCACGATAAAGCCTAAGCTCACAAGGATGGTAATTTATAAGCTGTAGAAAGCTTTTATTTTTGTATTAGAGGCTAATGTGGATATAACTGGTGGAATACAACCATTGGAACTAATGCATCTTAGTTTATGGATGTTAAATTATATGTAGGTTAACTTTCCGACCACTTTGAATGGTGCTTTAAATAAGGCACTTCACCAATAGAAAAGTTACAAGTGTAGATTGGCAGGGATTTGATCGATTTCAAATGAGATCACGGATCAACATAAGTTAGAGGATTGCTTGAAAACATAATGTGCTAGACAAATGTTGCACCAAACAGTCAAATGCCTGCAACCCAACACTCTACATTTATAAACTCCTCATTATTGTTTGTAGTTCTGGTGAGAAGTGGTTATCGGCGAGGTCCATCACGTTGGGTGTGAGGAAATGTATTTGCCAATGACATTAGATCGGGATTGTGCCATACATTGCTAGTTGGCATAATTTATAATTCGTGGAACATTGATGACAACTTGAGCGAAATAATTACACATAGCCTGGAGAATGCAGTTAAAACAGCTTATGCAGCAGAAGTACGTCGTCTCTTCACAACCACACCTATTCAGCTCTCGAGAAACAAGGATAAACTACGTAAATTTGCCTGCCCTTTGTGTATTTACCTGTTTGACTGCAGCTGCGGAGCCAGCTACACTGAGCGTACAATTAGGCAGGTTCATCATAGTGTTTCTGAACATCATTCAGCATGGTTAAGCAAGTTACGAACAAGATCGATTCGTAGCACTATTTTAGCACACCTTGTAAATAGTGAGCGTAAGGTTGACGTTAATACAGTATTGAAAATTATTTATCACATTCCTACTAATCTTAGTTTTGCTTTACGAGTTTGCCTTCTACATGCAGCTGAAACAATAGGAATCCAATTGAAGAAGCCAAACCTATGTGTTCAGAAGAAATTTGTACAACCACTTTCCTAACCTTGGCCATCGTTACATGAATGTACAAAACAGGACTGCTTCGCCCCCTCCTTTCTTTAAAAATTATAAAAATTATAATTGTCCAGATTATTTTATTCTTATGACCACTTCATCCTCAGTTACTAGTTATCATTGTCCAAATCGTTTCATTTCCTTTAACAGTCTGTTACGTAATCAACCTGTGAACACGCTCATTCCTTAATTACTCTTCATTTTTCCAGTATTATGCATTACGCAATCCATGTGTTGCAACCATTTCTACCCTTTAACTATGTGCATTAATTTTCTTCATTAATTATCATCCCATTGACATGTTGACACTGACTAATTATTGTTAACAAACACATCACCACTTGATTGTTGTGTATTGTAATAAAAATACTCTAATATATATAAATATACACTAGAGGAGAGTCAGAGATGAGGATCTAATTGAAAAGTAAATATTTCTTCGCTCAATCCTTCTGCTTTCTAAGTGTCTAAATAGGGATTTTTCTACATTGGATTTAGTTCTAGTTGTTGAATGATCAATGGATTCGCCTCGTAAGTTGAAGGTCCAGGGTTCAATCTCTGGTGGAAGTGATGAGTTTATCCCGCTGCAGAACAGCTGCCCAGCACTCCCTTATGTCACCTTGTGGTCATTGCCTCTGAAATTTACCTACTACTCTAAGTAGCTTATAAATGCTCAGGTTTCATAACATTAAAATTAACATTGAGGTATTTTGCATTTCGAACAACTGACAAAAGTTACAACACCAGAATATGTGAGATATTCGTTACTTGAAAAGCCATGACAACCAATTTCATCACTTCACAGTAGTATACTCAAATCATTATGATTTTGTCTTACTTTAGAAAGCCTATTTAAGACATCTTTTATAAACAACTTTTTTTACCTGGAATTCATTAAAACAAACATTATTTTACATGCATTTTAAACTGAATAAATGTTCAGTACTGATTATTTTGACTTATCAATTAATTACTATTCACCATAAAAATGTGTTTTAATACATTGTCACGTTTAAACACTTCCTTCTTCAAAATTTCACTTGGAAAAATGTAGTCACATGGACATTTTAACATCTTTAGAAGTATTAGCCCGTCTACTCATTATCTTAGAATGTTTTATATCACAGGTCACTAAGATATATTGTGTTATTTTATTCATGTTTGTGAGGTGTTAACACCCAAAGTGATTTTATTAGAGTTTTCAGTACTCTTACATACACCCTAATAATATATACCCATATATATGTGTATACATGTGAATATAGGTCATCCACATGGTATGAAAATAAGGGAAAATGTTAGTTAATTCATTCTGACAAATATTACCTCAGTGGTAAGTAGCTTGTAGTGAATTTTAATGACCCATTATAACGTAGATAATTAAAGGGAGCAAGATTTCTTATGGAATGTTTAGTGACAGGTTACTTCATACACGTGTCACGCTTAGCAGATGCCCTTAG